ACACACACACACACACACACACACACACACACACACACACACACACGTAGGAAAGAAAAAAACCTTATTTTATTATCTAAACGGACTCAATGCCAGCTATACTTTTATTGTTTGTTAATACCTTCTGAGATAGGGTCTTACCATGTAGATATGATCCTGCCCAGCCATGGCCCCATTCTCAGTTCTACCATATTCTTTGTTCATTAACATAAAATGGTTTCATGCAAGGGTAGCAATAAAGCATAAACACAGCATGCAGGAGGCCCCTGTGTTCAATCTCTAGCAAACTTCTCCAAACAATTATCATTAAAGTAACTTACCCTTCTAAGATTCTCAGCAGTGTTGTCATTTTGTCAGAGTTAGTATTGTAGTAAAATGTGGGTTTTTATCTTTAGAAAATGGGGTCATTCATTTCTCTGCAGAGGATTATTTTAGCTTTGCTGCTTACCTACTGGCTCTCCAAAGGTCATGATGAGTTCTACTGAGTCATAAACAAAGGTAAATACAGCTTGATCATCACTCCACTCAATGATATCCCACTCAGACAAACTAGAAAAGGATAAACAAGAAAAGTAAGTCTTTCTTCTTTTCTAATGCTAGGGATCAATGCAAGAAATTACTAGCTCAAATGAACAGTTTTTGATACCATTCAGATAGTACCAATAACAGCTACTATTTTTGCAGCCCATTGGATTGGAAAATAATATTTTGATTTAAATAATTTGAATGGCAAGATTGGGTAGGGTACACATTTTCAATCCTAGCCTTTGGGGGGCTGAAGCAGACAGATCACCTTAAGTTTTAGGTCAGCCTGTATTACACAGTGAGATGTTGTCTTTTTGCTTGTTTTTTTTTTTTTTTTTTTTGAGACAGGGTTTCTCTGTGTAGTCCTGGACTCACTTTGTAGACCAGGCTGGGGATCAAGGATCATCCACCACCACACTGGATGAGATGTTGTGTTAACATACAAAACAAGTACTTTGACAACATATAATAAAATGAAAACAATATAAAGAATATTGGTTTGATCCTTGTGCAAGGATAATACAAAAATTTGTGATAATTTTCATACATACATGTATATATGGACACTGATCACCAATAGAAAGTTTATCACCAATAAAAACCTTCTGAGGAAAAACAACACAAAACGTTGAAAAATATGACTGCATCATCTTGTGGGTTTTGTTTGTTTTGGGTTTTTGTTTTAGTTTTGTGTCTGTGTATCAAGTTATTGCTGTATACTCCTGGTTGGCCTAGAACTTACCATGCAGATGAAGCTGATAAAGAGCTTACAGCAATTCTTGGGCCTCTAATTCCCAAATACTGGATTGTTCAGACATGATTCAATCTTATATATTTGAAAGAAATCAGAACTCAATCTTGAGTCATATATTGGAAGAGAGGGGGCCCTTTTTGATAAAAAAAAGTACTAAAGATATGTCTTTAAATGTTCATCTTGCCAGGCGCGTTGGCACATGCCTAAAATCTTAGCACTCTGGGAGGCAGAGGCTAAGGCAGGTGGATCTCTGTTATTTTGAGGCCAGCCTAGTCTAAATTGTGAGTCCAGGACAGCCAAGCCCTGTCTCAAAAAAAAAAAAAAAAAAAAAAAACAAACCCAAATCTTATCTTATGAGTATATGTATGTGCCTGATTATATGTGTGTGCACTACATGATGTAGGAGCCTGCTGAGGTTCCTACACTGGATCCCCTAGAACTAAACTTATAGGTGGTTGTGAGCTGCCATGTGGATGCTGGGAAACGAAGTGGGTTATTTGCAGGAACAAATGCTTAACAACTTAACTAGCTCTCCAGCCTCAGAAATACTTAAAGGCATTTTAAACTTAACACATGGTCCTAAATGTTTCTACCTTAGTTTTGAAGGACACTGACTTTTTTTCAAAAGTCTGCACAATAATATAGGTTAGTAGTTCTCAACCTTTTGAGGGTCAAATAACCCTTTCACAGGAACTGCTTAAGACCACTGTAAAACATAGATATTTACATTATAATTCAAACAGGAGTTATGAAGTAGCAGTGAAATAATTTTATGGTTGGGGGTCACACAACATGAGGAACTTTATCAAAGGGCTGTAGAGTTAGCAAGGTAAGACTCACAGCTGTAGGCATTTAAAGCTGAAATTGCTAGGTGTTGTGATGTTGCAGGGTGACGTTGGGTATTCCCGAGAAGATGAGGCATAATGATTGCTTGGACCCAGAAATTCTAGGCCAACCTGAGCAACAAGGGAAAGGCTCCAAAAAACTATAGTAATATATAAGGTACAGGATAGAACAAAAACTGAGTAACACCTGCTTTTTCTTACCTCAATTGATCCAGTAATTCTTCAGTATTAGTTGTTTGTTCTTTTATAAATTCTATCTGAGCAAGAGTCTGTGTTTTCTGTGTCTCTACTTCTAAGAACTTCCTGCAAATAAAATCAGGTATTTACAGAAAAGCAAAGTATTTGTTAGTGAGTTCAGTGTTAATGAAATATCTGGAAGATGGGCAATGACTCAGTTGATGAAAAAAGTTTCCTTGTGAAAGCATGATGACCTAAATTTGGATACCTGGCCAAGCAATGCCGTGCATGTCTGTAACAGTGTTGGGGACAGATCTGTCAGAGACAGATGAATCCTGGTGCTTGTTGACTAGTCAGTCTAATGAATTGGAGAAGTCTGGGTTTAGTGAGAGACTTTGTCTTAAAAGATAAGGTAGAGGCTGGCCATGGTGGTATACACCTTTGATCCCAGCACTGATGGCAGAGGGAAGCAGATCTCTATGGGTTCAAAGTCTGTCTGCATCTACAAAGTAAGTCCCAAGACTGCCAGGGATACATAGTGAAATACAGGCTTTAATAATAATAATTTTTTAAAAAGGTGGAGCAAGACACAGAGACACCTGATATCAATTCTGGCTTCCACATTCAGGGCAGTACACCTACACACACATACACTATACATATAAACTATACATTAAATGTCTTATGATGAGATATAAGCTAGATAGCTATCAATGAGATCATTAAAAACACAAAACATTGATATAGATCTAATTAGAAATAGTATATAGTATTGACTCTCAATTTTAGATCAAATAAGTTGTCTTTGGGTTTCCATGTTCTTGAAACATGATTATTAAAATTTATTATCTTTATTTTTATTTAAGAATAAATGCAATCCCTTTCTTTGATGAGATTAGGTCTCACTCAAACTCAAACGGGGTAGGAACTTACTTCAGGCTAGCCTTGAATTTACAAGAATCTTCTTGTTTCAGCCTCCTAAATGCTAAGATTATAAGCATGTACCAACATACCCAGAGTTCTGTCAACTTAATTTCAATCAAATATTACTATCTGTCAAATAAATGTTTGTCAACTCAAATTTTACTTATCATTATTTACATGCAATTTCTTTCTTTTTTAAAGAAATGATTTATTTTATTTTATATACATTGGCATTTTCCTATATGCCTGTCTGTGTGGGGGTATAAAATCTCCTGGAGCTGGATTTATAGAGACAGTCATAAGCTGCCATGTGTATGCTGGCAATTGATCCTGGATCCTCTGGAAGAACAGACAGCACGCTTACATATGTATACATGTATGTATGTATGTTTTTTCAAAACAGGGTTTCTCTGTGTAGCCCTGGCTGTCCTAGACTCCCTTTGTAGACCAGGCTGGCCTCAAACTCACAGAGATCCGCCTGCCTCTGGCTCCTGGGTGCTGGGATTATAGGCCTGTGCCACCATGCCCGGCCAGACAGTACTCTTCAGTGCTAAGCCACCGCTTCAGCCTCTACATTTAATATCTTCTAATTTTAAAATTAAGATTCATAAGCCAAGAAATATAAAATGTAGAAGTCTTACACAACAGTAAAATAGTGAAATATTTATTTTCTTTAATATTTCAAATATAAGAAATATTACCTTTGATGATTGCCTCATAAAATATTAATTATAACCAAAAACACTGCTGACTGAAATGTTCTCTAGGACCTAATTCAAAGTGGAATAAAATCCTTATATACATAAATAAAAGGCTCATGGTTCTTGTAAACCTCTGGAGGTAAGAGGCCTTGTGGACTTCACTTTTATATTTTCTTCACAAAATACATTTTTTTAAAGAAGTATTTGTTTCATGTTGTTTGTGTGTACAGCATGTACATGCCTAGTGCCCATGGAGGTCAGAAGAGGGTGGTGAATTTCCCCAGAACTTGAGTTACAAAGAGTTGTTCAGTGGGAAGCAAACTTAGGTATTTCTGCAAGAACAAGTTCTCTTAACCACTGAGCCATCGCTCTAGCTGATGCCTCCTCTATATGTGGGTGTATGAGACACAGAGAGAGAGAGAGAGAGAGAGAGAGAGAGAGAGGCGGAGAGGTGCACATGTGTGTGTGAATGTATTGAGAGAGACAGGATGTCACTACATAGCCTTGGTTAGGGCTACCCTGAAGCTCCCCATGCAGACCAGGTGGAACTAAAATGCAGAGATTAAATCATTAGTCACCGTATCTAGCAACTTCATACTTTTTAAACATTCAACTGTTAGCTGACCTTTGAAGCTCTTCCTCTTCAGTTTTCAGCTGTTCCAGTTCTAAGAAAACAAAACAAGCATAAAAAGAACACCAGTAGAAAGTTAACCACAAAAATCATTTTAGTTTACTGTGAATTCTGACCCAATCTCATGTAACATTTAACTGAACTCAACAGAGCTTTTCTCTCAGGACTTACCTCCTTAACTAAATAAGTTACCTTTTTCTGCATCTCTCATTTCAGAATCCCATTCTTCCATTGGATCATCTTTCTCTTCACTCTCCAAATTCTTAGTTTCTAAGGTAAACATCAAGCAATAGAGAAACTCCAGTCAAAAGTAAATCATTAAATATCAGAGAAATAGATGGCTCAGAATGAAATACTGGTAATATTCACAAAAACTCATCATCCTCTGCTAATAAAGTCCTGAACTACAATTTTATAGACTTCTGTTAACAGATAAATGAACTCTGAGCTAATGACAGATGTGTCACCTGTACTTATAAAAAGCATTTATTATTATTATTTGTGTGTGTGAGTGTGACTATGGTATGTATGTGTATGAGTGTAGGTGAACACCAAGGTCAGAAGACAACTTTTGGGAATCAGTTTTTCCCTCCCGTCATGGGTTCCGAAGATCAGAACTCAGGTCAGCAAGCTTATGCCACAAGCACTGCTGGCCCTTCTCTAGTACTTTAGAGACGAGGTTTTGCTTAGACACTGCTCAGGATAGCCATAAGCTTGTCATCTTCCTGTCAAAGTCTCCCAAGTAATTAGGATTACAGGTGTATCACCATGCCCAGTTTGTTTCAGGTTAGCATTTAAAATATTTTTCTATTTGACATAGCATGTAGGCAAGCTGGTCTCACTGAGTAAGCTGATGATGACCATTGATCCTCCTGTCTTTTCCTACTACGGACTAGGATTAAAGGTAAAAGGTATGTGTCACTATGCCTACTCCAAGCTTAATTTTTATCTCAAAGATACCACTCCCTATTTGAGTTGGGGTTTCACTATGTAACTCAGCCTGGTTTGGAGATTCTAACTCAGGCTTTAGAGTGCTTCAGATTATAGATGTACACCATGACAATCAGCTTGCATTTACTTTTCATCTCTTCAAACCTGAACTCTATATGACTATTAGTACTTAATATACATATAGCTGGTTCTCTGTTTATGAAAACATTTAGAGTTCCTTATGAGGCTGTCCTGTGTCTAGCCCCAATAACTAATCTGGCTTTGGTTTAGATCACATTTCCTTTTGTTCTCTATTTTACTTTGATGTATCTTCAAACACAAGTAGTTGGCATATTGTTGTTATAAAGAAAAAATGAAAATCCCATTCTATTTAGCAATAAAGACTCAGGAGCCAGATGCTGGGGTGAAACCTGCTAGTTCAGAGAGGCAGAGAAAGCACCAGCTGACCTTCCTTCTCAGCTCAGGTCCGGATGGAAAAAAACCAAAAGGCTCACTAGCTCAATTGACAGCTCAAGAGGAAAAGGCTAAAAAACCCAAGGCTGAAGGTTTGTTAGCTCAAACCCCAAAAGCTAGAAGCTGAGGAGCTGAAGCCTAAGCTTCAGAGCTTACGCTAAAAGCTATTTCTATTTCTACATACTGTCTTAGATATCCCTCAACTCAAAGTCCCTCCTACTCTTCAATCCCTCTCAGCTGGTTTCTTGTTCTACCTCTTAACCTACGGTTAACTTTATTAAATCCTGTGTACAGAAAGCTCTTGGATTAAAAGCATGTGCTAAAGCCTGGGTGAACCAAACCATAATCACTTTTTTTTATAATAAAAAAGTTCTTGGATTAAAAGTGTGTGAAAGGGCTCAGCCACATAAAAAAAACAGGGTTTTACAGTTCACAATTTTGGGGTTCACAATGTGATCAAATATCCTGCAAAAGTATATTCTTTACATGTATTAATTCTCAATAGTCTGTTGTTCTCTCTCTGTGTGTGAATGCACATATATCTGGGTATGTGTTTTTTTTTTAATAATTTATTTAATTTTTATTTTATATACATTTAGTGTGAAGGTGTCAAGATCCCTTGAAATTGGCATTACAGACAGTTGTGAACTGCCATGTGGGTGCTGGGAATTGAACCTGGGTCCTTTGGAAGAGAAAACAGCACTCTTAACCACTGAGCCATCTCTCCAGCCCCCTGGGTATGTGTTTTAAAGAAACCATTTCACTCTGTAGTTTAAAAGCTGGCCTCACACTCACAGCAACCAACATGCCTCAGCTTTTCAAGTGACGAGATTAGAGATGTGGAACATGCCTGGTTTCTTTTATTTTTTATACTCCTATTCATCTTTCAGATCTTATCTGAAAAGTCTCTTCTGTACAGGTAAAGCAGCTCTGAACTCTTCACTAAGTCAGACTTCTATTGAAGTATCTCAGCCCCTTATAACATCTTCTAAAGGATTTACTATAAAATTGTTTTTGCTGAGGAAGGATGTTTTGGTGTTTTTGTTTTCTTGAGGAAAGGTCTTATATAACATAGGCTAGCCTCAGACCCCTGACTCCATTTCCTACAATCTGAGAAGCTAAACGTGTAATCCCACACCCAGTTTATTTGTTTAGTGTCTAGAGTTGCTTCTCGGTTAAAAGTTCCATAAGGAGTGAGCATGGCAGGATATATACGTAATCCCAGTCCTGGGGAGGTTGAAAACGGAGGTTCAGTAGTTTATGGCCACTCTCAACCACTTTAGAAGTCAGTCTAAAGTACATGATATCCTGTCTGAGGGAAAAAAAAAGTTCCACAAGGAGTGTGTTCCAATTTGCTTAGTTTGCATGACTTGTATATGTCGACTGAGTGCCATGCACTCAACATATAAAAGGTATGCAAACTAAGCAAATTTGTAAAATGAGTAATGAAAGAAGAGTAGCCATTTAGTGCTACCTAAAGAGGGAAACACAGCTGTTGCTTGTTTTTTGAAGTCCTGAGAAGAGTAAATCCAAAAATTTGAAAATACTCTACCATTGAGCTATGCCTTTAATCCCAGCACTCAGGAGGCAGAGACAGATGGATCTCTGTGGGTTCAAAGCAAGCCTGGTCTACTGCATGAGCTCCAGGACAGCCAGGGCTACATAGAGAAACCCTGTCTCAACAACAACAACAAAAAGAATATGAGCCAATGAGACAGTTTGGCAGGTAAAGCAAGCCTGAGATAGATCCCAAAATATTCAAAGAGAACTGACACCCAAAAGTTGCCTTCTGACCTCCATATGTCCTCCAAGGTACAGATAGCCCCAGAACACACTCAGAATAAAAGTGTAAATAGGGGCTGGAGAAATGACTCAGCAGTTACCAACACTGCCTGCTCTTCCAGAGGAGCAGGTTTGATTCTTAGCACTCACATGCAGCACACAATCATCTCAGGCCAGTTCTGGGGAACCTGATGCCTTCTTTTCGCCTCCAGGGGTACTGTATGGATACAGTGCACATGGAGGCAAAACACTCATATGCTTAAAATTACAAGAAGAAGAAGAAGAAAGAAAGAAAGAAGGAAAAAGAAAAAAGAAATATCTTGGGCTGGAGAGATGGCTCAGAGGTTAAGAGCACTGTCTACTCTTCCAGAGGTCCTGAGTTCAATTCCCAAAAACCACATGGTGGCTCACAACCATCTATAATGAGATCTGCTGCCCTCTTCTGGCATGCAGGTTGTACATTCAGGCAGGACACTATAGTAAATAATAAATAAAACTTAAAAAAAAAAATCTTAAAACAATAAAGGTGCGGGGGGCAGAGACAGGTGAGCCTTTGTGAGTTCGAGGTAAGCCTGATCTACAAAGTGAGTCCTGGAGAGCCAAGGGTACACAGAGAAACCCTGTCTTGAAAAACCAAAAAACCCAAACTTAAAATTACACACACTAAGGAACAAACAAACAAACAAACAAACAGGTGTGATTAAAAAAAAAAAAAACACGAAAACAAAATACTGGGCATGGAGGCACTCCATGTAATATCAGTACTCAGGAGGCAAGGCAGAAAGATCCCAAGTTCAAGAGTAGGTTAGGCAAATCCAAGCCAGTTTGGGTTACACACACTCTGTCCCCCAAATAAGCAAAACTATTCAACATTATGGTATAGGTTATGAAGAGCTCTGCAAAAGAACTTAATTTTCTGGGCATCTCTTCTTTATTGCATAGTAAATGAAATTTTATTATCATTTTTTAATTACCTTTATTTTGTGTGAGAAGGTACGTAGCACAGCATGCCTATGGAGAGCAGAGGAAACCTTGTGGGAATCAGTTCCCTTCTTCCACCATTTAGGCTCCAAGAACCAAACTCAGGTCATCAGGCTTGGTGGCAAGCACCTTTACGTACTGAGCCATCTCATTAGCCAAAAAAAGTGTTTTAATTTGCTCCAATTAAAGAACTCAGGGTGCAGGGCTAGAGAGTGGTTAAGAGCACTGTCTGCTCCTCCAAAAGACCCAGGTTCAATTCCCAGCACCCACATGGCAGCTCACAACTGTCTGTAACCCCAATTCCAAGGGATCTGACACCTTCACACTAATACACATGAAATAAAATAAACTAAAAAACAAACAAAAAGTAACTCAGGCTGCTAAAACAGCATACAAAGACCAAGGTTTCTACGTTAGAGAAAAATATCCCTTAACTTTTTATGTAGTTCCAGGGGTTGAACCTAAGGCCTTTTGCATGATGGGTAAGTTTTCTATCACACAGCTCTATCCACAGTTCCTAGGAAAGTATTGAATACTTCACCTATTTCCACTTCAGTGAGACAGTTAGTGATCTTCTTAAGTATGTTGTCCAACTCATTTATCTTTATCTGAAGTTTCTTCTTCTCATTCTAAACACAGAATGACAGATTATAAAGCTTAACCTTCAAACAATCCTTTAATAGTTCAATTACTGTCATGACCATAAATAGGCAAATCTTGTTTTCCTTTTTTATTTGGCAATACTGGGGACTGAACATGCTGGTCACATGATCTACGGCTGCCCTTTATTCCTATCCATTTTTTTTTTTTTTTTTAAAGGACAGGGTCTTACTATATTGCTCAGGCTAGCCATCAACTTGTGATAATCCTGCCTTATATTTTCAAATAGCTGGAAATACAGGCCTGTGCCACCACACTGGCATGAAAAGGCAAATTGTAAATTCAGGTCAAGACTTTTAGTCTGGACTTAAAATTTATTATTACTTTAATTTAAAGAGACAAGTTAATTTTTTTATTTTAAGCATGTCTTTTCTGTATGTTTCATGAACATATGGATATTAATATTTATTGCCTTGAAAAGGGTTATTTTTTTTTCCTGTGATCAGATAAATATGGGAAACACTGGTCAAACAGAATTGCAGCCTTTTTAATGTGTTTTTCTGTTTACTTTTGTTGTTGAAACACAGGTTCTTGCTATATGGACCAGAATTTATAGCAATACTCCTGCCTCAGCTTCCTGTAGGTATGCGCAGAGGATAGATACTATATACAATACTTCCTATTCTTAATTGCCAGGTAGTACCTGTTAGGTAGTACCTGTTAAGCAGGGCTACCTTGCTTGTTTGCTCTTATGTACATGCTTATATTAAGCATGAACACCTACACTTCTGTCTCTGAAATGGGAAATGAACAAATACTAAGCAAATGTTCTACATTTGCTACATTCTCAGTGCTATTTGTAGAGCCTTTTTAATAGGAAAAGGGTAAACACATGCAGATACATACACAAGTAAATATGGATATAAGGAAGATAGTACTGCCATCTGGATGAATGGGGACACAGAATCACAAAGATTTTATTTCAATATATAAAATGCATGACTACAAGATGAGATATAGCCCATATCAGTAACTATATTTGATTTTACTTATAATGACAAAGTTTAAAGCTTTTGATTAATAGAACCTCACTTTTTAAAAAAAGATTTAGTTATTTATCATTTACACAATGTTGTGTTTTGCACGTATACCTGCAGGCCAGAAGAGGGCACCAGATCTCATCATAGGTGGTTGTGAGCCACCATGTGGTTGCTGGAAATTGAACTCATGACCTCTGGAAGAGTAGCCAGTGCTCTTAACGTCTGAACCATCTCTCCAGCCCCTGAACCTCATTTTTTTTTTTGAACCTCACTTTTTTAAACAAGCTTTTATCCAAAACTCATTTATGTATCTCCCACAAAGCATTTCATATTTCACATCTACTATACATTACTATATATTAACCATCTCAAATTACCTCAGCTGAATGCACCAATTTGTTATACAGAGCCACTTTTCCTTGGTGAGTGAAGACTTTTGTCATCTTGGTATAACGTGATTTCATTTTGTTAAGGTAAATTCCGTAAGTCTTCAGCTGTAAGAGAGTTGAAGAGCACACTGTACTAAAATAACAAGTCAGATAGTAAGGCCTGGGAAGACAGGGTCAATTTCCTGGATCTGATTCCTAGGGGAAACACTTTTCACTTGCAAATTTAATTTCCTGCTGATCTGGAACTCATTATGTAGACCTGGTTGGTCTTAAAAGTGTGTTCTTCTGTTTCTACCTCTAAAGTGCTTCTACATTTCTATTTAAGAATAGAAGAATATAATTAAAGACTTCAGTTTTGATTATTGCATTTAATTTTCTTATTCATTTTACAAACTAGAAAATGACTGGCTTTTAAATCACAAAATACTATTGTGTGTGTGTATTTTTTTTTCCAAGTTAAATTAGTCATCACACATTGGAAAGGTTACTTGGTGATAATTAGGTAAGACCACAGCCGCACACTACATCTAAGAATAAACTGAAGAACTCCACACCATTAATAAGAGTTTTTTTGCTTATTAGGGACAAATATTTTGATACAGGATTTTTTTCTGTGTAGCCTTGGCTGTCCTGGAACTAGCTCTGTAGTTCAGGCTGCCCTTGAACTCAGATATCGACTTGCCTCTGCTTTCCAAGAGCTAGAATTAAAGGTGTCTGTAGAAGAATTTTAATCTAGCAACATGAAAGCTCTGATCGCATCCAAAGACCTTCTAGAATCAGACAGAATGTAGAGACACTTTTAGTATATACATTCAATCCCAAACAATGAAGGTAAAGTTAGTGAATAGAAGGAAGCAGCTATGTTTAAAAGTGACGTTTATTTGAGAGGCGGACAAAATGATGAATCGGAGAAAGATTTGACAGAATAAATCAGAGAAGGGATATGGCCAACTCTCATGAGAGGAGAAAGGAAAGAGAAACAACTTAAGAGGGCAGTGCAGAGGAAGAGAGGAGGCAGGTTTACAAGGAAAGCTTTATAGAGACAGGTTAAAAAGAGAACGAACAAGACACAGATGAAGACAAAATGAGCTAGAGAATGAGGAGTCAGAAGATTAGAACTGATTGCTAGAATTAGTTTGGGGCCAAGCAGAGCAATTCAGTCAGAAGCTGAGAGAAGCCAGTTTAAATCAGTCACCTTTGAGAGGCGTTTGAGCCAGAATAGGTGAACTCTGGTTGAACCAGCCAACCAGAGTTCAGAAAGAGCTAGAAAGAATGAGCTTACTGAGTAGTAAGTCTCAGAGGCTGAAGACATTCTAGGCCCAGGTTAGATTATACAGAGGCTAGAAGCTTCCAGGACTAGGCCTAGGTTAGCAGATGGGTGCAGGAAGCCTCTGAGGCAACAATTACATCAGGAGAGTAAAAGTTACTTTTACAGGTGTGTACCACCACAGCAGGAAAAGCACGAGTTTAAATGTATCAAAATGTGTCAAATCATATTCACAAAAATGACATAAAAATACCTCTTCATCAGAGTAGTCTTTCATTTTTTCCCACAAGTTCCTATTTACATCAGTCAATAGTTTATCTTGGTTCAGTGCAGACACCTTTAATCTAAAACACACAAAAATGTGATACAGGATTTAGAATTCTGCTTGAATAAATCATCTTAATCATGGAGCCAATTTTAATTATATTTAGTTTTATTTTTTCCTACATAGACATGGGAATTCACTCAGGATATATGGTCAGTGTTTCAGAAGTTAAGAATGTTACAATGAGCTGGTTTGGTCATGAATGCCTTTAATACCAACATTTTTGGGCGCCCAAAAGATGTTGTCACCACCAGACAGCAGAAAGCAATTTTAGAGAATGATGCCCCTTTCTAAAAGATAAGGTGGGTGGTTTTTTTCTTGGCCCTTCAATCTGTGATGGATATTTGTTTTTAGTGAGAATGGTTCCAAGTTGTGAAAGGTCTTCTTGGTAAGGGAGGAAACAAAGTAAAGGAGGTTAAATCCAGGGATTTCATTCTCTCTTTCTTATTCTTTCCTTTATCCTTTCTCTCCTATGGAGTGTTGGGGGGAGGGGAAGGATGTAAAGAAAAAAAGGGGGTGGGATATAGAAATGATATATGAATGAATGAATAATAAAATGTTAGAAATCTTTGAATCTACTCTTCCAGATCTTTGTATATTGATACAAAATTAAGGTTATATTTATTTCTTTGGCATAGATCTTTGTATACTGATACAAAATTAAGGTTATATTTCGTTTACAACATACTATCAACTCTTTTTAAGGTATTGTACCTATATAATTCTTAAAAATGCAATGTGAGGGGCTGGAAAGATGGTTCAGTGGTTAAGAGCACTGTCTGCTCTTCCAAAGGACCCAGGTTCAAGTCCTAGCATCCACATGGCGGCTCACAACCCCACACATACCCACTGCCAAAGCGGTGGGAGCCGAGCATGCTGCGCCCAGGTTAGTTGGGTGATTTAAAGATTCTGGTCCCTCCCAGCATGCCCAAGGCAGGGGTGATTCCTGCCTGGCAAGCATCTATTGGTCAAAATGCTACATTTTGAATTGATTGTCTGTAAGCTCAACTCCAAAGGATCTGACATCTTCACACTAATGAACAATAAAATAAAATTAAATTAAATAAATTATTTAAAAATACAGTGTAAATTATTTTAAAAATACAGTGTAATGTTCTAGTCCGTTTGAAAGCTACTATCCCAAACTGTTTAGGATAATTAAGAAATGCAAGTTAATAGTCAGTTAATCCAAACTTGTGGTTTTGTTAAGTACTAGTTTAGTTAATCACAGGTGTTTTCTAAGTTAATCAAATAGCAGACAGCTGGAGACAAACAACTATTCAAATACATGAAGATAGTTAGTCTTCAAAGACTTATAGAATATGGCATTTAAAGATGTTGTATTAATTTAAGACTTTCTTGACAATGACACATGTCAGCTCCTGGCAGCACCCCATACTACTTCAAAGATGATGATGTGCATTGAAGAACCTCCTTATGGAGTTTGCTCCAAATGTGGCAAGCTTCCACTGGGCAATAAATTGCCCTTGCTTCAACTGCTGAAGTATGCTGTCCAAGCTTTGGCCAAACAGGACACTGCAGAACTCTGCCAGAACAAGGCAGAGAAGTCCTCCATAATTACTACTTGATAGAAATATCTGTCAGATAGTCTGGGCCAGTAAGACAAAGAGATGGATGTTCCAACGTTGCAGAGCAATCTTAGGTGACCATCCAGGAGGTGGGCAATCTCTTTCATTTCTACGGTTTTGAAAGATGCTTTCTTTGCACTTTCTGTCTATTCAGGTAACATTTATCCTTCTCAGATCTCTGATGGGGATGAAGACTATATAATTATAGTTTCACAGTTACATTTAAGTTGTTTATGATTTTAGAAAATTGTTTTAAGCTCTAAAAAGAATTTTTAGGTTGGTAAATGCAAGTTACAATAGAAAGTAACTTTGAACTCCCCAAGAGAGGATAGATAGTACTTTCTCTAAGAATGCTAAATACATATGGACTGGACATTGTGACTGCAATTCCTACCAGACTCTACATAGTTTACTGATGCTAAAGAGTCTTTTGTTTAAACAAAAAAGGGGGAAATATGCAGGATATTTGATCACACTGCTAACTCTGAGATTGTGTACTAGAAAAACCTGTGTCTGGTTGTGGTATAACTCAGCCCTAGCACACACCTTTAGCCCAAGAGCTAAATAAAGTCAACCACAGGTCAAGAGGCAGAGCAAGCAACCAACTAACAGGGAGTAAACAGACAAGAGGGTCATTGAGTTAAGGGTATTTAAGACAGTGTGGAGAAGGAGAAAGGTTGTTTTTTTTTTTTGTTTTTGATTTTTTTTTCCCTTCTGGAACATCGGTGGAGAAGGAAGTCAGCTGGGTGCTTTCCCTGCTTCTCTGAGCTACAAGTTTTTACCCTAGCATCTGGCTCTTATGTCTTTATTGGTAAAACTGAAAGATTGGGAGTCTCTTTTAAAATAACACTGTATGTTTCCTGTATTTGGTTATTGTTTGATGCAAAGCAGAAATTGAATGTAATGAATTGTATAAGAGTGCTGCATCTGCAATCAAGGGATAGTATAAACCATTGGGAGACTGGGGTAGGAAGATTGCCTGGAAGGGCCAGCCTAGACTAGAGTCTCTTTGAAGGCCCTGTCTTAAAAAAGCAAACAAAACAAACAAAACTCAAATAATACTTATAAGTAAGTACTGATCATGGGAGTTAAGAACTTTTTATTCAGCTGGGCATGGAGTAAAGAACTTTTTATTCAAAGTGTATGGTGGCATGCATACACTTTCCATCCTAGAATTTGGGAGGCAGGTGGATCTCTGTGAGTGCAAGGTCAGTCTGGTCTACGAAGCGAGTTTCAAGACAGCCAAGGCTACACACAGAGAAACCCTGTTTTGAAAAACCAAAGGGTGAAAAAACAACAACAACAAAACTTGGTATTCAGAGGACCCAAGTTCGGTTTACAGTACCCACATTGGGTAGCTTACAACTGCTTTAACTCAATTGCCAGAAAGTCTAACACCTCCCTTCTTTGGGCATCTGTGCTCTCATGTGCACACACACAAACACACATACACAGACAATTTAAAATAATAAAAAAAAAATATTTAAGTAAAAAAAAAAGTAATGTTACAAACCAAAACTTTTCTAATAGGGAGGGAAGAGAGAAAGAGGGTGGAACTGGGAGGAGAGGAGGAAAGGGGCTACAAGGATGTGAAGTGAATAAATAAATGAGAAAAAAATCCTTATAAATTTTTCTAACCAGAATTCCTATATAAAAAAATAAAAATAAAAGAATTCCCATATAATGTAAGTGAAAACACATTGCTTTCATCTTTAAAAAAAAAAAAAAAAAGATTTATTTATTTATTATGTAGCGTTCTGTTTGCATGTACACCTGCATGCCAGAAGAGGGTAACAGATCTCATTATAGATGACTGTTGAGCCACCACAAGGTTGCTGGAAATTAAACTCAGGACCTCAGAAAGAGCAAACAATGCTTTTAACCTCTGAGCCATCTCTCCAGCTCTGCTTCCAACTTTAAGATACTGTATAATTGCTGTGAATTTGTAATTAATTTTTAAGTAAAAGTTCTCAATTTAGCTCAAACTTTAACTTTTATAAAATAGCATTGATAAAAACAGCAGGGTGAAGCTGTATGATGGCACACACAATGTATGTTGAGACGAGACTGATATGAATTCAAAGACAGCTTAAGCTATAAAACATGAGATCTTGATTGGCCTGGCACAATGAGACATTGTTCTGAAAAAAATAAAATAAGGAAAAGCAAGCTATTATAATTTCAATATTTACTAATAAGTAGCGAAGATAAATACTTGCAGGATATTTGATCCCATTGTGAACCCCAAGATTGTGAACTGTAAAAGCCTGTTTCTTGTTTGGTGTGGCTCGGATCTAACACATATCTTTAACCCAAGAGCTTTCTGTTTACTCTAAACAAGTACTTATGGTTTTGGCTCAGCCCTACCACACACCTTTAATCTAAGAACTAAATTAAGTAAATCATAGGTCTAGGTCAAGAGGCAGAAAATGAAACCAGCTGACAGGGATTAAACAGAAAGGAGGTACAGTGAGAGAAGGGTATAAGATAGAATGGAGAAGAAAAATGGGCTTTCGGCTTTTTTCTTCTGTGATGTTGGCTGAACACATATGGTACATAGGCATACAAAACACCCATACACATAATTTTTACAGCTAAGGATATAGCTCAGCAGAGTAACTTTAAAGTCTTTAATTCAATCCCCAGTATCACACACAAACACATACAAAGTAAAACAAAACAAAACAAAAAAAACTACAACACTTAAGGATTATTTTTGTTAGCTTAGTTCAAATGTAAACTGTTGGGGGTTGGTCTGATGCTTGTATTTTGATGCTAATTACTGGCTCTCAAGATCTGGTTATTGCCCAGATACATCTATCCTTGTTGTGTAAACTGCTGAAGACATTATACCTGACTGGTTAATAAAAAAGACCTGTACCTGGGCAGGGCAGAAGAAGATAGGTGTGGATAAGGTTTCTGTGCTTCAGGGACAGGAGAGTCACAGAAAGGAGGCAGAAGCAAAGAGAGGAAAGAAGCCAAGATGGGTTAGCATGGGAAAGGAACCACATGGGCCAGGAGAAAGGACTCCAAAAGTGGCGTGGAAAGGACTGATCCAGATGAAGGATAAGCAAGTATTTATGGAATTATAGATGGAAGGTAGCCCAGATAAGAACGGTTAAGACGGATGTCGTTGGAGGGGGGCTGGAAGGTGGATAGTGAGGTTGCTGAGATAGCATAGGTGGAATTATTTGCCCAGCCCAAGGTGTTATAAATCAGTTATAAAATCTAACAGCTATCTGTGTCTTATTGATTATGGCAGCACGTTAAATAATACCGCCATAATAATTACAGGGTTAATAAACGACAATATGTAGCCTGACACCCATTATTTCCAACAACATTAAAAAAAGTACTAAAAGAGCATGAAATAAACATTATTTTGAATTATGAATTCTAGTTTATCATAGGAAAAGCAGACAGATAATTTGTAAATCTGTGTGTAATACTTACAAAGATCCAAGCACTGTGCTATCTTCTAAGTAAAACTATATTGTTTTATGTATGTAAATTAAAGGAAAATGTGGTAAAAATTAGAAGTACCAAAACAATTTTGATTATGAATGATAAATACAACTATTATTGTTACTATATTTTGAGACAAGGTCTTACTTTGCAGCCCTGAGTGGCCCTGAATTCATAGAAGTGCCTGCCCTTGCTTCCTAAGTACTAGAATTAAAAAGCCTAAGCCATCATACCCACTAATATAAACACTTATTTTTTTTTCCCCAGAGAAGATATCATGTAGACCAGACTGGTCTGGCTTTTTTATTTTTTAGACTTATCTAGGTATATGAATAGATGTGTGCACCTTTGGGCTTGGGGACCAAAAACGTACGATGCCTAACTTGCTATGTGGATATTGGAATCAGAGCTCTTATCCCATGACTAGCAGCAAATGTTCTTAACCATTAATGCCATTTCTCCAGTCCCATGGCCTTGTACGCATGATTCTCCTGCTTGTACTCCTAACCCTTGGGAGACTGGAGCAGGAGGATTATCTGGACCAGTCTGTATTACAGTCTCTATTGAGGCCCTGTTTCAAAGAAGCAAGATCAGAAAGTAGGTCCATAAGCATATTGTCTCAACATCAGATCTTCCAAGTAGGTGATGTGTGTATAGTAAACTTAAAAAAAAAATAGTAATTAAATATTAAATCAAAATTGATACCTTTTTCTTTTAGAATCTAAGAAAGAGCCTTACTATGTAGTTTAGGCTCCTTCTAAATCCTGGGTGTACAACAACACCCAGTTTACAAACCCCAAAGTAAAGTGTGGCAGTTCACATCTTTAATCCCAGCACTCAGGAGGCAGAGGCAGGGGATCTCATAGTTTTTGTGGCCAGCCTGGTCTACAGAGGGAGTTTTAGGACAGTCAGGAACACAGAGAAACCCTGTCATGGGAGTGGGGAGGGGGTATATTATATCTGTTGGTATAACATTCTTGTGGCATACATACAATTTACTCTTGTTCATTCAAATGCTACCCCACTATCTGGTTTCAATCTAGACACTGCATTGTAATGCTTATTCTAAGAATCACCTGTCTCCTTTGTGTAAACAAGCCACCATTTGTTCTCTATGTTGCCAAAAAAAACAATTAGCCAATACTGGGAAATCCTGGTCCAGAGGGGAGGAGAAAGAAAGGAGTGGGAGAAAAGATCCATGAGGAGAGGACCTGAAAACATCAGGAGAAACGAATTGAATCTAAGATATGACTAAAAAGCACGTATAATGTGGGAAATCTGAATGGGAGAAGCTATGCAGGCTTGGAGGTTTAGGATGGAGTTATTATTGCCCAGCACTGTGCTCTAGGTCAATTAAATAAATCCTAGTCTCTATGTGTATACAGCTGGTTTAAGCATAACTGCTGTTTAGCTAAAAGATAAATCAATATTAAATATTAATAATCATCAACACATATCCTTTTGAAGATGTTCTGTTTTAACTAATTTATATCATAATGCAATAATTTTGGTTTATCTTTTTATTCATCATGAAAAGAAACATATGTAAGTGCTACTGTTCATGGCATCTGTTGAGTAGTTATCATTACTACTTTATGAAGTGGAAAAGAATGGTAAGTGACTTATGCACGGCTACACAATATTGTAGACGGAATTGGGTTTCCATTTATGTCATACTGTCAGTTAATTCCATTCATTTTTCCCATGCTGCTGTTATTCTAATTAAAATACCACATGGACCAATTGTTTATTATAACCCTCCAAAAACAATCACAGGAGAAAAAAATTAAAGTTTCTTACTCTTCAATCTTTTGTCGCAGAAGCTCACAATCTTCTCTGTAAATCTGTATCTTGGGTCCATAAACATATTGTCTCAACATCAGATCTTCTGGGGTAGGTGATGCGTTTATAGTAAACTTAAAAAAATAGTAATCAGTCAAACAATCAATCAATAAGAATTGATACCTTTTTCTTTACTATGTAGTTTAGGCTGAGCTGGAACTTTTGATCCCTTTGCCTAAACTTCTTGCCTTGTGACACCAAGTCTGATAGGCACTAGATGCTGAGCTTTGTTCTTTTCCTTTTTTTTTGAGAGAGTCTCATGTAGCCCAGGCTGGACTGGAACTTATTATATAGCTGAAGAACACACTGAACTACTGGTCCTCCCAAGTGCTGGAATTATAGAAGTGTACCAATACCTGGCTCAAAACTGGCATTTTGAGGACAAAACCACATACAAGAACAAATTCAAATTTTAGAATGTCTATTTTAAAAAGTTATACAAAGAGGCCTGGGTATGTAGCTCAGTTTAGGGTGCATGAGGTTCTAGGTTCAATCCCCAATACTGTGGGGAAAAAGTTATGCAAAGAAACTTAAAACATTATATGAAGTTTACACAGGAAGTTAGCAGTTCAAACATGAATTCAAGTTTCTAACTTCAAAGTCTACTCTTCTACAGGTGTTCAGGTGAGTTAAGATAATGACTTACAGGACTGAAAGTGGTTTAAAATGATTATGAATTATTTTAAGAAAATCAGGGATTGGAAAGATGACTACCGTAAATTGTCCTGATTTCTAAGCAATTACATGCATGTGAACATACACACATACGTGAATGTAATTTTAAAAGATCAATATAGCCAGGCATGGTGGCGCAAATCTTTAATCTCAGCAGGCAGGTGTGTATCTGTGAGTTCTAGGCCAGCCTGGTCTATAAAGCAAGTCAAGGACAGACAGGGCTCTGTTACACAAAGAAATTCTGTTTTGAAAAACCAAAAAACGAACAAACAAACAATTTTTAAAAACTAAGTTTAGCAAAAACCACTTTAAAATAGAAAGGAAAAAAAAATACATCAAGGCAGTGGATCATGACTGCAATCCCAGCATTTAGGAGACTGAGGCAAGAAAGGTCTTGTCTTTGTGAGTTCAAAACCATCTTCTGCTACATAGTAAATTCCAGCGTGGCTTGAACTAGAGTAAGAACTTTGTCTCAACCAACCAACTAACCCACCCATCCACTCATCAAAGAATAAAACAGTTCGTTATGTTTTACAACCCTAGTTTAAAGACAAATGAATGTATCCTATTTTGGAAAAAACAAAAACTATATCAGCTTTTCATTGCATTACTTATGAAAAGGATTTATTCTTTTTTTTTTTTTTTTACAAGCAGCACAGCACAGAATAAGTAATTTTTCCACTCTAAACTTGGTGCTTATCTATTAAATGGCTGGAACACGGTGTCTACTTTGTGAGCATGAGGACTGGATTCAAGACCCAGGACCTGGTGTGTGTTTCGTTTGCATGTGTGCGTGTGCGTGTGCATCGTTCACGCCTGGTGCCTTAGGCAGCCAGAAGCGGGCATCAGATCCCCTGGGAGTGGAGTTACAGAGCTGTGAACCTCCATGTGGGTGGGTGCTAGGACTCAAATCTGAATCTTCCGCAACAGAAGCTAGTGCTTTTAATCACTGTGTCATCTCCTTGGGACCCAAGCTATTTATTTTGAGACAAGGTCTCACATAGGTGTGTGTGTGTATATATATATATTTATATATATATATATATATATATATATATATATATAAATATATATAAAATCAATACTTGGGTTCTTCAGGCCAAGGAGTTCTTCAACCTAATTATATTTTATGAGTTACATTACTTTAGCTTGAACTACTCTGTCATGAGAATTTTTAATTTTGGTTTCTTTAAGAGATCCACAGTAGAGCTCAGAGTCTTATGGAAGAGTTGGGGGAAGGATTGAAGAACCCAGAGGGGTCAAGGACAACACAAGAAGAACTACAGAGGGCTCACAGAGACTGAACTACCAACCAAAGAGCATGCATGGGCTGGACCTAGGCACCCTACATATATGTGGCAGATGTGCAGCTTTGTCTTCATGTGGGTCCCCTCATAACGAGCGGGGGCTGTCTCTGACTCTGACGCCTGCCTTTGAATCCCTTTCTCCAAGCTGGGCTGCCTTGTCTGGCCTCAGTGGGAGAGGATGTGCTTAGGAATGTTGTAACTTGATGTGCCAGGGTGGGTTGGTACCCATGGAGGGGACCTCCCCTTCTCTAAGGAGAAAGGGAGGAAAGAATATGGGAAGGGGAGCTGTGAGGGTGGCAGTTGGAGAAAAGCAGGTAGGGGGGCTATGATTGGAATGTGAAGTGAATAAATAAATTAATGAAAAACAATCACAGAAATGTTTTGGGAATAAGTTTTCATTTTAATGCCAGGGGTGGGAATAAGAGGCTACCTCACAGCAAATGACTATAATTTGCCTCATGCTCTAGTACGGAATTGGTTTTGCCAGCTGTAGGTGGCTTCTGAGAGTGTGTTCCACTGGCGATTACATTACTTTGCAGAGAATATATAAATGCGAGGGTCCTATGGGGCTGGCTGGCTGTTGTTGGCTGGGTAGTGGGTGGATGCTGTTGGTTGCAGTTTGTTAAAATAGTCATGTACAAAGAAACTGAGAATATCCTGATGGTGAAAATCAAACTTGCCCCAAAGAACACGTAATCAGTAGAAAGTAGTCTAATGATAACTTCATCCGCTTTCCCTTCTATCCTTTTTATCTCCTATCTAGTGTTGGGGGTTGAAAGGGAAGAAGTAAAAGAATAGAGAGGGTAAAGGAAAGGAACCCACAAAGCAGCTAACTCCAGTTATATCACTCCACAAACATGCAAGGATCATGGAGGACTATAAACGCACCCTCTGCCAGTTCAGCCAGTTGAGCTGCTACAACATAGACATATAAGGGAGCTGCAAAAAATGTCTATAAGGGCCAGCAATACCTCCACTCCCACCAAAAACATGTTGCCCACTTTTACTCTACAGAGACTCACAGTCATCAAAGTCTTGGAACAGATGTCCACAGCTATGACCTCACTTTCCATGATCTACATATTCCATTTCTTTTGAACTCCCTCTACTTTAAGATTTTTCAAGTCTGTCTTCTTAAACATACCTTGGCTTTGCAGACACTAAGATTCAAAGATGAGGTTAGCTTTACCACGGAAGGAGAAGAAAACCTTGTGGATGTCAAACTGGGAGAGCTGTCACGCTGGATACTGATTTGAGGCCTCGCCTCCAAAGGCACCACTGGAGTGCTTTAGAGGTTCCAGGCAATACTGCAACAAGCACCCCAGTGAGGAAAGGAGCAGCATCAAGTATACAAACAGGCTGTTAGGCCTGGCAGCTCCAAGGCTTCATGCACAGCAGGCAAGCCTCTACCAACTGAGCTACATCTGCAGTTCATAGTTTTGACTTTTAAAAAATGCTTACTCTGGTGCAAATATTTTTTTGTTTTTTAAAGTATGATATATTTTAACTGAGATGAGTATTTTGCAAAGCAACTGTACTTACTTTGGCTGGGAGATTGCTCTGCCTGGGTTTCTGTATTAAGATGTGGACCTGAAGAAGTATGAAGAACTCCCTTATTGTAATTTGTCCATTCTTGAGTTTCTAAAAAGAAAGGGGAAAAAAAAAAAAAAGGATATTTTCTTTTTAATTTGAACATTTAATTTTTTAATTTGAACATTCAATTTAAACTCACTTTGACTCTAATTACATCATTCAATTCTAAACAGCTTAACCTACTGTGTTATGAAAATAGGCAAACATTAGCAAACCTTACTCAAGTAGATGTTTTATGAAACAACGTATCCTTCTATAGCACTAATTTGCAACCCAGTGTGACCTAGAATTCACAATGTTAGTCTCTCTAGTGCAAAAATGAAAGATACAGACCACTACACCCAGTCTAACATTTTTTAAGGTTATTTAAAATCATTTTCAAAATGCAAAATATTTGTCTCTTAAATTCTCCTTAATAAGGTCTAGGTGTTAGATCCCTTGAAAACATATTAATTCCCAAGGTCATATGCTAACAGTATATGGAAGTAAAGGATAACTGGATGAGCTTGTAATATTAAGACCCCCAGGACAGCATTGAGGACTCTGTAAGAGGAAAATGGACTCAAATTGGCAAACTTGTTCTACAGTCATGAGATGCTATGGGTCACATGGAGGTTCTGCAGGGTACCTCCAGCCTGGCAGCCTTACCACATTCTGAGCTTGTGGCAGTGCTATGCTTGACAAAGCCTAATGAACCACAAGATGGCTCTATAAACTACCCATTTTGTGGTATTCAGTTACTGCAAGACATAACAGACTAAGATAATACTTCATATAACTACTGTGTTGAATCCTTAACAAAGAAAACTAGCCTCTATATATTTGAAATACGTCATAATTTTAAAAAATTCTAGGGTTGAAGATAAAACATAGTTGGTAAAGTATCTGCCTAGCATTCATCCAGCTCTGGACTGGATTCCCCGTATGACATAAAATTTGGCATGTGGCCCATGCATGTAATCCTAACACTCTGGAGGTAGAGGCAGGAGGATCAAAGTTTGAGGTCACTTTCAGGTACACATTAAGTGTAAAGCCACATGGGACACATGGGAGCTACCTCAAAACCAAACCAAACCAAAAACAAAAACTAAGCCAGGAGTGGTAACACACATCTGTAATTCTAGCACTTGGGGAAGCAGAAAGATCAGGAGTTCAAGGCCAGCATTTGCTACATAGGGAGTTTAAGGATAGCAAATGCCTGAGATCCTGTCTCAAAAAAGAAAAAAACAAAACAAAACAATAATAAACTATTTTTAAAAAATAGCTGGGCATAGTGATCTTTAATCCCAGCACTTGGGAGGCAAAGACAGGCAGATATCTATGAGTTCCAGCCCAGCCTGGTCATAGAGTGAGTTCTAGGACAGCCACAACTCTGATACACAGAGAAACCCTGTATCAAAAACAAACAAACAAACAAACAAACAAAAATAGTGCATTAAAAGTGAGAAATAAAGCCAGGTAGTGTTGATGCATGCCTGTGATATTAACATTCAAGAGGCAGAGGCAGATAAATCACTGAGTTCCAGGCCAGACAGGTCTACAAAGCAAGTCCAAGACAGCCAGGGCTACATAGAGAAACCCTGTCTCATAAACAAACAAAACAAAAGTTAAGAAATAAGCCAGATGTGGTAGTGCACATGCTTTTAATCCCAAGATTTGAAAGACAGATGTAGACAGATCTCAGAGTTTGAGGCCAGCGTGATCTACATAGGCTGTTCCAAGCCAGCCAGGGCTATATCATAAGACTCTGTTTCAGTATAAACAAAGAAACAAATTAAAAGAATAAAAAAAAAAAAAAAAAAAAAAAAACATAGTGAGAAAGTGATCATGGGATGGATCAGCAGACAAGGGCACTCAACACCAACCTAGCAACTTGAGTTCTATTCTTGAGACCCATATGAGGGATAGACAGATCAATTTCTGCAAGTTGTCCTCAGACTGCCATATGTGTACTGTGGCCTCCATGCACTCACACACATACACACAAATAATAAATGTAAGAATGAATTAAAGTGAAACCTCATCAACATACCTCCCTCAAACTCTCTTCACAGATAGTGTCACCGAGAAATTGTGATTCCATTTGGCTATTACGCTGGGCTAGAAGCAAAGCAAAATTTATGTAATAAGCAAGTCAAAGCTAAACTGTAAGGCTTGGAATAGTGGTGTACACCTTTAATCCCAACACTGGATAGACACAAGCAAGAAGGCGGCCAGTGTAGTCTACATCACCAATTGTAGGCAACCAAAGCTACACAGTGAGACCCTGTACCAAAAACAAATCAATGAAAACTAAAATGTAAAGTTAATTTTAGTTATCCTTCAGATTTATGCGCTGTTCGTGACCCTGATGCACCCATTTATTAGGATGTTGCTGGGGATCTGTTCACTTAGAAAGACAAAGTATCTGTAATATAGTCTTAAGTCTCCATTCAGTGTTTCTCTACTAATTACAAGCTTTTGGAGAAAATGAACCATTCTTCTATAATACTTGTCATTTTATTAAGTTAAAAAAGTAAGTGAAATATTACTTTACTTATCAACTCTATAACCTAAAGGATTTATATAGCACTTAAATACTTCCTAAATTGAAATACACTTATTAATTATGAATTCAAATAACGTATTATTTATTCTTCATAAAGATCTTACTGCTGACATCCAGAGAAATTCCATCAGCCTTGAATGAATCCAGAGAGCTGCTGCAACTAGACGGTGTTCTGCTTTTTATCAATGCACTGTTGACATTTTTATTGATATCTCCTTCAGTGTGAAGATCAAAAACCTGAAATTACAAAAATATCAGCATAGGGGCCAGTCAAATGCCTTTGTCAGTAAAAGTACTTGCTATGTAAGCCTAGCGGTCTGAGTTCATTCCCAGAACCCATGTAAAGGCAAAAGAAGGTAACTGACTCCACTGTTGTTCCATGATATATGCTGTGGCATGTTCTTCCTTCCACAGCATGCATGTGCAAAAGTGTCTGCCCATGTACAAATTACATAATTAAAACACCAACATAAAGCTATGAGCTTGGTACTTACAGTGACTAAATTTCAAGCACCAACAAAAATACTAATTCTTTCCTTTTTTTTTTTTGTTTTTGGTGGAGGGGGTGGGGAGGTTCAAAATAGGGTTTCTGTGTGTTCTTGGCTGTGCTGCAACTTGCTATGTAGACCAGGCTGGCCTAGTCTACAGAACTAACAGAGATCTGCCTGCCTCTGCCTCCCAAGTGCTATGATTAAAGGGATAAACCACAAAAACCTGGCAAAAATGGTCATTTTAATCCCAATACTCAGAAGGCACACAGGTCTGACTCTGTGAGTACAAGGCTAACCTGGTCTACATTGCAAGTTCCAGGCTCAGCAAGGCTACACAATGAGAACCCTATCTCAAAACAAAAATAAAAACATTTGATTTAGCTTCAAATATCATTTTCATATACCCCCCCCATTTTTTTCTTGTAAAGTAGGATCTTGCTGTGTTGCCTAGCCTCGAACTTGCACTCCTTAGCTTCTCCAGTAGCTAAGATTATAGGTCCAACCACTGTATCCATCTACATGTCTTCTGGAGAAAAATTCTTTGCCTGAATGCTAGAATAAAAGCTTTATTATTAAAAGATTCTTTGGTACGTCCTTGGATATAATCCTAGTACCTCCAGTACTGTCTAGGGCAAGGAGGGAGATGCAGCTCAGTTTTTAAGATTGCGTTAAGCCCCAGAACTGCATAAAGTTGGGTATGGTGATGCACATATAATCCCAAAACTCCAGAGGAGAGCCAGAAGATCAAAGGCTTAGGTCATCAGTTCCAGGGCCACAGGAGACTCTCTTAGTATCGAGGGACTGAATATGGCTCAGAGCACTTGCTGCTCTTGTAGAAGACCGAGGTTCAGTTTCCAGTACCTACATGGAGGCCTCCAATTATCTGTGACTCCAATTCGGAAGCCATTTTCATGCTTCTGCAGACATCAGGCATATATGTGATATACATACATACATGTATGTAGGCAAAACACTCATACACATAAAATAAAAATAAATATATCTTTTTAAAAAAGTATCTAGTGCTGTGGTTCTCAATCTGTGGGTTGTGATCTCTTTGTGGGTAGCACGGATGCTACCACAGGGGTTGTCTTCACACCATCAGAAAATACAGATATTTACATTATGGTTTACAGCTGTAGCAAAATTACAGTTATGAAGTAGCAATAAAAATAATTTTATGGTTGGGGTTGCCACAAGATATTAAAGAATTACAGCTGGGAGCTAAAGTGATGGCTCAACGGTTAAGAGCACTGGTTGCTCAGTCAGAGTTCAATTCCCAACCATCTATAACTATAGTCCCATGAGATCTGATGCATTCTTCTGGTGTGCAAATGTACATGCAGACAAAACACCCATATACACAAAGTACAAAAATATATGGTCACAGCATTAAGGAAGGTTGAGAGCCACTGATTAAGAGTATAGTAAATGGATATTTAATATTTGTTTAACAAAATAATAATTTTCATAAAATCTAGTCAGATTTAAGTGTTATATTACTATTATTAGTTTCTCAAAGCTTTGGCTATTTTCTCATCACCTCACCTCAGAGCCACTGAAACAATCTTCTGTACTTACTCATATTGGTTTTATTTTTATATTGTTTTGTTTAAGACCAGGTCTTGAAACAGGGTTTTTTTTGTGTAGCCTTGGCTTGTCCTGAACTCACTTTGTAGACCAGGCTGGCCTCAAACTCACAGAAATCCACCTGCCTCTGCTTCTCTGAGTGCTGGGATTACAGGCATGTGTCACCACCCCTGGCTTCGAGGAGATTCTCCCTCCCACCCCCAAGGAGATTCTTATACACAAAGTAATGCTTACAAATCACCAGCAAAGTGACTGAATATTTAGATTATAGAAATCTGACCTGGCATTATAGAGAACATCTGTGATTTCAGCACTTGGGAGGTAGAGGCAAAAGAACTACAAGTTTGAGGCTATTCTAGGCAATAAAGTAAGATGCTGTCTCAAAAAGTCAAGACAATTCTAATACTGGGTATTTGTACAACTTTTAATTTCATTTTTGTGGGTATTTTTCACTATGATTGTTTTGTGATAGGATCTTGTTTCACAGCCCAGGCTGGCAGTTAAGTCACAGTGATCTTCTTACCTCAGCCTTCAGAGTGCTGGGATTACAGTTACAGGCCAACACATCATTATCTTAAAGGTTCTTACCAAACGACCTCTGGTAATTCTACACAGGAATATATCTCTAACCTATATTAAGTAGAAATAGTTTCTACTTGCTTAGTAGAACATATACAAGTTTAAAAATATAGCTGAGTATGGTAGGATATACCGTACTCAGGTATATGGTATATAAGTAGTAATCCTGACAGTGAGAAAATTGCAGTAGCAGGATTGTAGAGCACCTATATCATAAACAAAAATACAAAATTCAATAACACTTGAACATTGGAATCAGGACAGCTTACCTCCTGATCTTGTGCACTATCATGTGTTCGGATTTTTTTCTCACTTACAACATTATCATCTTCTTGTACCCAGGCTCTTTTCTGGGCACCACAGGTTTCTATTTTGTTTTCAGATGGTAAAATCTCTTTGTGATGTGTGTCAATCAGAGCATTTTCTTCGATGTCTAGGCTAACAGAGTCTGATGAAAATATCTCACCAGGATACATAGGGAGATTTTCCTCATTTATATACTGAGATGGACTCAAATTCGGTTTGGCTGCAACAAATCCAATGCCTGAATCTTTCCTAGAAACTGGCGGAGTTTCTAGGTGAATTAAGTCCGTCGCATCTGCTGGAATTTGCTCTAGGTCATCAACACCAGTGATACTACAATTTCTCTTGTTTGGTAATTTGGGTAAGAAGATTCCCAATGAACATCTTCTAGTTTTGTCTTTAACAATTGCTTTTGGTGATAGAGATGTAGCCTCAGCCCCCTTATGAAAAGTTGTACTTTCTTCATCTCCATCATCACTGGAGCCTAGGTTATGTATTGCTGTAGCTTGTACCATACTCATGTTATTGTGTGGCTGTTTTCCTGCTTCAAGTAACTGTTCTGCAGGAGGTAACACATGAACAGTCGGAAAGTCTAAAACCTCAGTTTTTCTATTCAAATCACTCAGACTTGGTTTGACACTGCTAAAACATGAAACATTAGATGGAACCATAGAGCCTGATGCTTCTCTTGCATTGGCATGGACTCGAATGACTTGTGTTGTCAGGCCTGAATTACTATGGCAATCAGTATCTGTATTACACTTAACTGTTTGAATACTTTCATTCAGTTCTTTTTTGTAGGCTACAGCAAAGTTTTCCTCGTTAGTAAGCATTTTGGTTTCATTTTCACGTGTGGGTGCAGACTTCTCTGTAAAAAAAGATGAAGTCTTCTTTCCAGCCAATACTCCTTCATCTTTATTGACAGCACCCTGCCCTTTTTGAGTTGATGGGGGCTGCTGGCCTGAGAGAGGAGGCTGAGAAGCAACATTAACATCAACAACAAAGGTCTCCCCCTGATCCTTTGAGACTTTAGTCATCTCCCCCAGAGGCTCTTTTATCAGATATTGATCTTTAAGCAGTGCTACGGCACTTTGAGTTTGGCAATTATTGGCTTTCTCCTTATTTTTATCATACAAGGATATATTACCATCCAAATTATCAGAAAAAATAACATCTGGTAAAGAGGAATACTTGTCACTGAATCTACATGCAGAAGTTACATGACTGTGTGTAAAATCCACATTTCTTCCATCTGTACTATTTAATGGACAGGTTTCAAGTTTAGTTTGTTTTAATATATTGGCCTCCACACACTTTCCTACAACTTCATCTAGATCAGCTTTATGAATCTTGTTGATTTCCACTGTACTCTGAGAGCCAAATAATGTATTAGAAGGAATAACAGTTCTTATATGGTGTTTTTCAGCTACTGTTTTTTTTGTGATTTCTTGAATACTGCTATCACTTTCAGGACCACTCAAGTTTTTGGCTGCTGCCATTCCTAATTTAGTATTGTCATGAAGTGCTTTCTCTTTGGCTTGACAATCAATGAAAACTGTATGGGACTTGGTGACATCCAGATCACCGAGATTATCTAGAAACACTACAGTTTTGTCCATAGGTACAGTAGTTCTTTCATCTGGTGGGACAGTTTTATATTCTGAAGCAGTGGCTTGACTTCTAGAGAGCTCTGTGTCCTCCGGCCTGTGTGCAGACAAAACCAGTTTAGAAGTTCCTGCCAATGGCACAAAACTTAAGCTCTCTCTTTCTTCTAGGCTATTTTTATTACAGGTTTCCACCACAGAATTCTGAGTGGTATCTCTATTATTTTTATCATTCACTAGAAATGTAATGGTCTTGTTTTTGAGCCCAAGGCTTTTGTCTGAAAGTTGTTCATGGAGAAATCCAGGCTTTTGTACATCATTAGTTTCTTTTCTAAGTCCACTATTAGATCCTTCCTCTAGTACTATCAGCTGGCTGCCTTCTGCTGCTGGACAGTTGCTTTTACTGTTTTTTGAAATGGAAACAATCTCTTCAGCAGAAGTAGACATCACTTTTGGCCTTTGTAGGCTTTCCTCTTTGGGTAATTCAAAGTCAAATCTGTCTGGAAGTACACCTTTCACCTCTGCTTGGTAGTCAATGAAAACAGTATGTGACTTTGTAATTTCTAGTTCCTCATGATCATTTATAGACATCAAAGTCTTATCTAGATGACCAGGAGTTATTTCATTTGGTGAGATAATTTTACATTCTAAAGGAGTTGTGTGACTTTTAGTGATTTCCATTTCATCCTGTCCACATGCATTCAAAATGGTTTTAGAAGTTCCTGCTAAAGGTACTAGGTGAGAATCATGTTTATCTAATAGAGATGTATGGTTTATTTTCACTGTGTGACTCTTGGTGATATCCATATCATTCTCATTACCCTCTGAAAATAAAATAGTTTTATCAATTTTCAGCCCACCAGCACTTTTTCTTCCACAAAATTTTTTTTCCTTCAAAAATTCAGGTTTATGTATACTTCTGTCCTTTAACATGTCCATATCATTAGTTGGTAATACTCTAGTGTTTTCTATAGGAATGTTCACAGCTATCTTTCTGCTTTCTGTTGAGAGTCCGCAGTCTCTGTGTTCTAAGTTAGGTTTACCATGTTCTTGTACCCCAGATGGACCAAACCCAATTACAGTAGTGTGGCTCTTGGTTAGATCCATAGTTTGTTCTTCCTCTGAAGAAATTATCATGTTAGCATGAGAACAGCCAGGATCATCTACATTTTTCCTCTGTGGTTCAAAAAGTTTAGAATGCTGGTCTTGTACTGCTTGTCCCAGTACTACTTGTTTATCGAGCTTTCCCCACTCATCTGAAGGACTTTTGCTGTGAGAGTAAGGATTGGCGACATTTTTTGATGTGAAGTCAAAAGTTGTAGGAACAGCTTCACTTCTTAACTTACTTGTGTGACTTTTAGTCAAATCCGTATCTTTACCTGTTAAGAGTTCAATCCTTCTGTCAGCCAATGAAACAGATAAAGTATTTGTCAGGCTCTGTTGTAATCTTTCCTTAGATACTTCAGGAATTGTAACATAATTTACATTCATTTTCTGATCTTCTAACATACGATTTTGAGGCATCATTTCTTTTTTAAATACTGGTATAGCTGTTGTTTTTTTTTTAATGTTTTCTTGATCTTGTTTGAATGTCATATTATCTATTGTAACTGTGTGACTCTTAGTAATGTCCATGTTATCCTCTTCTGAATAAATAGTTTTCTCTGTGAGTGGACCAGGACCTGTACTGGTACATATTTTAGAATATTTTTCATCAGGCTTCAGCAAATTTTTTTCCTCTCTTATACTTGATAGACACTTAGTCAGTTCCATTGCATCATTGTTACTAGAATAAAAAATTGTCTTATAACCTTCAATAGTTGGACTAGAATATATCGATTCTGAGGTTACAGCCAATGTGCTAGCACCTTGATTAGAAATCTGGGTGACTGGATGAGTTTCTACCTCCATAGTATGACTTTTGGTAACATGAATTTTATTTTCAGGGTTTGAGAAAGAACCTTGTAAAGCAGCATTTAGTTTATCCGTAAGAACTGTTTTCTTCTCTGGAGCTTCAGCCCCATCAACTGTTGTAACATTCATCATGACATGTTGAGTTTGAGTTTCTCTTTTAGATAAATTACTTCCTGATAGCAAAACCTGTATGGTATTGTTAGCTGTCAACTCCATACATTCATTGCCATAAATTGTATTATTATCTTTAAATTCTCCTAAGCTGGCTTCCCAAGCTGGAGGAATCCAAGTCTGAATATAGGCTGGTTGGCACTGGGTCAAATTCATGCCATCATCTTGTTCTCTAAAGATTCTAGTCCTATTACCACTATTTTCATCTACATTAAGAGACAAATGCATTTGATGCGTAGAAGAGGCACTGTTTGTTTCTTTGAAATAAACAGGTATCTCAGAATTTTCTTTGTCAAGCTCTGTAGAAGGAAAAGTACTGTATTTTCCTGTTTCCAATCTTTTTATGAAGTTGTTAGAATTTATCTTTTCTGAGAAAGTGTTTTGACCTATGGAAATTTTGGGACATTCTAATTCCTGTTTAATTCTTGAATTTTCAGAATGACACTTTAAATTCTCAAGAAAGGACGTGGTATCTATTTTTGTGAAGTTTTCATTTTTGGTACAATTTGAAAGGCCTTTGGTAATCATCACAGTGTGACTTGCTGTCAGGTCCATCTGGTTTTCATTTGAAAAGATGACTGTCTGGTCATCTGCATGTTTCCTTTCATGGCTGTAGTCTATAACTGAAAACTACAATGAAAGAAAAATAGAAAAATTAGAGCAGACATAGATTTTTTTTCTAATTCATTATTTTACTTATTTTTCTGCCTGTATATATGCCTATGAACCACATGCATGCCTCCTGCCTGTGGAAGCCAGAAGAAGATATTAGATTCCCTGGAACTGGAGTTATAAATGATTGTGAGCTGCCATGTGGGTGCTGAGAATTAAACCCAGGTCCTCTCAGCCATTTCCCTAACTCAAAATTAAGTTTTGAAAAAGATGTTTTATAACATGTATTATATAAACACAATGAGTAATGGTTTCAAGCTATACTGGCTTACTTAAATCAATGACTTATTATATTATATATAATATGTTATTATATTTTTTTTTCTCCTTAGGGCTAGGGATGTAGTTAACTGGTAGATTCTTGCCTACCATGCTTTCAGCCCTACTAACAGTCAGGAACTGGAGGCAGGAGGAACAGAAGTTCAAAGTAGCTGGACATAGTGATGTGATGCATGCCTTTGATCTCAGCAAATGGGAAGTGGAGGCAGGGCATCTCTGTGAGTTCAAGGCCAGCCCAGTCTACACAGTGATCTCCAAGACAATAAAGTTACATAAGTGAGACCTTATCTCAAACACTAAAAAGTTCAAGGTTATCTTTAAGGCCAGACTGAGCTGGAGACCCTGTCTCAAACCTTTCTTTTAAAGCTAAGGTCTATGAATAAATTACTTTTGGTAGTTTAGAGAAAATTAAAATTCAAAGTTACTTAGATGCCTTCTACAGTGATTAAAAAATTAAAAAGCACTGAATAGATGAAATGTAACCATAACGAAAATTCTGCATTGAATAGTTACTGAAACCCTAAATAAAAAGTCTCAGAAAGCCATAGGCACATACACACATATATAAAATTTTTTTTTTTTTTTTGGTTTTTCTAGACAGGGTTTGTCTGTGTAGCCTTGGCTGTCCTCGACTCACTTTGTAGATGGGGCTGGCCTTGAACTCACAGAGATCCGCCTGCCTCTGCCTCCCAAATGCTGGGTTTATAGGCCTGTGCCACTACACCCAGCTGCTAATTCATATTATACTATGTACTTCAGGGGTCTAGTTTCTTGTTATTCAAAGTTTAGTCTGTGCAACTGCATGCCAGTGTCATTCAAGAGATGATTAGAAATATATTCTTGAGCTCACGCCTGTAATCTCAGCACTCAGGGAGGCAGAGGCAGGCAGATCACTGTGAGTTTGAGGACAGCCTAGTCTACAAAGCAAGTCCAGGACAGTCAAGGCCACAAAGAGAAACCCTGTCTCCAAAATTAAAAAAAAAAAAAAAATTTACACACACACACACACACACACACACACACACACACACACACACACACAGTTTCTTGGGGGCCAGAAAAATGACTCAACAGTTAAGAATATTTTCTACTCTTTCAGAGGACCAAGGTTCAGCTCCCAGTACCTGCATGGCAGCTAGCAACTGTCTATAACTCTAGTTCAAGGGGATCTCGGATCCTCTTCTGGCTTCTCTGGGCACCAGCCATGCATACAGCGTACATATATACATGAAGCGAAGCAGTCACACATACTGTGACAAAATATTTAAGAAAAATAATAATCTCTCAAGAGTTTACCCTTTTCAACTAGGTACAAATTTGTCTGTCTACCTACACACAAACACAATAGATTTTTCATTTGTGTGATGTTGGGTATTAAACATAAACCCTTGCACATGCTAGACAAACTACTACTGACCTGTATCTTCAATGCAGAAAAAACCTCTATATTTATAAAATTCTAAGATATTTCATGCACTCATATAGTTTGAAAAGTTTTGGTACTTTTTAAATTGGCAATGACTTAATTGTCCTGGAAATATAGGAAGGTTTTACAATATAGGAAGGTTTTATATAAGGCTTTAATAACTTTAAGTTATCTCAAATTTATACTATTACATAAAATTTCATGTTATTTAACTGTCAAAGATTAAATTATAAGATACTTCCATGATTTCATACCTCCTTTTGTTGCACCTGAGTCTGAATAGGAGCACAAAGTAATGTATTCATACCTATAGAACAATAAGAAAAACATAAAGCACAAAGCAATGTATTCATACTTAAAGAATAGGAAAAACTTTATGCCAAGTGTCTGATTTCTTTTTAACAATCTTCATCAGTTATAAGTATGAACCAATGTCCTGGTTGCTTGGTGGTCAACCTGACACAAGCTAGAATTATCTGGGAAGGAGAACCTCAATTCAGAATATGCAAGTCTGAAGAGCATTTCCTAGATTAATGATTCATGTGGGTAGGGCCAGATCACTGTAGGGGTGGCATTCCTGACTCGGTGAACCTGCATTAAGAAAGCAGGCTGAGCAAGCCACATTGAACAAACCAGTAAGCAGCACTCCCTTGGTTTCTGCTTCAGTTCCTGCCTCCATGTTGTTCCTGTTTTGAGTTCCTGTTCTGACTTCCCATCATAATCAACTACAACTATAAACAAACAAAACCTTTCCTTGCCAAGTTGTTTTGGTCATGGTGCTTAACAGAACAATAGAAACTTAACTTAGACAACTAGTTACTAAACTCTTCATAAGACTTATGAATAAAACATCTTTAAGATTGGTGGCGGTATCGGGGTGTGGTGGCACACATCTGTAACCCCAGCACTCAGAAGACAAAGGCAGACAGATCTCTGTGTCTGATCTACAAAGCCAATCCAGGACAGCCAAGGCTACACAGAGATACCCTGTCTCGAGAAAAAAAAAAAAAAAAAAAAACAAAAAACAACGAAACAAAAAAAGATTGGTGTGGTGGTGCACACCTTTAATACCAGCACTCATGAGGCTGAGGAAGGTGGATCTCTGTAACATAAGTTTTGGTTTCTTTTAAAACTCAGTAACATTATGTAAATAATGTTTTTGTTTTAATCCCAAGTGTGGGATTTTAGTTTCGGCTTTAGTTTGTATACAGCTATTAATTGTCCAGAGCAGAGCATGGCTTTTGCCAGCTGGTAACAGCACAGAGAGCATCGTGGTCTAGGGCTCTGAGGATATAAATGACAGCCCAGAAAGAGAAAGTGTGGCGTGCGGTGTTGACATGTGGCGAATGGCAGTCTGGAGAGAGCAGAGAGAGGGACAGTGTAGAGGTTTGAAGCATAGACAGAGTGAAACACTTAAAGGCACAGCATCTTGGAGAAGACTGCTGGCTACATTTGCTTTTGACAGGGATTGGTATATCCCCCAAGGATATCTATCCTAAACAACCAGGAGAAGTAAAGGGGTCTGCAGCCCCCTCCCCACCAACCTTCTCATTCCTACCTAGGGTTGGGGTAAATGGTGGAAAGGAGATAAAGGCATAAATAACCCAAATAAAGTAGAGTTTTAAAAATGAACGCTACATACAGATCTCTGAGTTCAAGGCCAGCCTGGTCTACAGATCAAGTTCCAGGACTACAAGGGAAACCCTGTCTCAGAAAACATACAAACAAAAAAAATCTGAACTCTTATTTTCCTCCTTCCTACCGTCCTTTTCCAATGCTGGAGATCAAACCCAGGACCTTACACACAGCAAGCAAGTATTCTATTCCTGAGTTATGCTATGGTCCCTAAGAGCCTTTCCTGATGACAGAGAACAGTAATTATTATATCTATTTTGGAAATAAAATATTTTATCTGTATATAATTTTATTTATTCTATTTGTTTGCTTTTGTTTTTTCAGACAATGTCTATATAATCTTGGTTGGCCTGGAACTTACTATATAGACCAGAATAGCCTTGAACTCATAGCAATCCAAATACCACTGCCTTTCAAGTAGTAGAATTAAAGGTGTGTGCCACTGCACCTGGCATTAATTTTTACATTTTGTCTCAGGTATCCCAGGTTAGACTTGAACATGCTGTGTCAACAAGGAAGACCTTGAAGTTCTGATCCCCCTGCATCTAACTCCAAGACACTAGGATTACTAGTGTACACCACATGTTTGTGTCTGTGTCAGTTTAAAGGTATAGGATTATGAGATGTATTTGGTCATACTCACCAGTAATTGCACAGTAATTATCATCTGAATTCTTATTGCTAAAAAAAAAAAAAAAAAAGGCATTTTTATAAATTATATTTCAGATAATTATGAAGAATCACAATAGCTGAAAGACTTAGGAAAAGAGACGGACATAATGGCCCATGCCCTTAATCCCAGCACTTGGGAAGTAGTAGGTAGATCTCTATGGGTTCAAGGACAGCCTGGTCAACATAGTGAGTACAGAACCCACACACAGTAAGATCCTGTCTCAAACAAGCAAGAAAACAGACAAAAAAAAAACAAAAAAACTGTGAAAGAGGGTAATTAGCAGGAAATTACAGACCCTTACCTGAATGGTCTTAATAGTGTGTTAAACTAAGAACACTATAAAAATATGCATTAGTTGCCAGGCGTGGTGCACACACCTTTAATCACAGCACTTGAGAGGCAGAGGCAGGTGGAGCTCCGAGTTATTATATCTATTTTGGAAATAAAATATTTTATCTGTGTATAATTTTATTTATTCTACTTGTTTGTTTTTGTTTTTTCAGACAATGTCTATATAATCTTGGTTGGCCTGGAACTTACTATATAGACCAGAATAGCCTTGAACTCATAGCAATCCAAATACCACTGGCCAGCCTGGTCTACAGAGTGAAATCCAGGACAGCCAAGGCTACACAGAAATACCCTGTCTCAAAAAAGTAAAAAACAAACAAAAGTTTTATACTATGTGATAAATTTAAGACTTTATATATGAAAATGGAGTTTGTCATCACTACGAAGACTATATTGTACACTTATTTTTTAGATCTGGCTGTACATATGCTAAATTCTAGTTTGTATTTTAAATTAATGTTAAGTATTTGACAGAAGACATGGTTAAGTAACAAAAATATTTTTTAAAACTTCCAGTTAATAGGAATAAACAACCATGAAAATATAATTAGCATATGTCTCTTACTTACTGTAAAGTCAGCACATTTTTTCTGGCTTCTGTCTCTAAAAATAAAGTGAAAAAATTAAAAGTTGTTAGTGTAAGAATGCTAACAGCAAAAGGTTTTGAAGTTTTTACTATTTACCCTTCTGTCCTCCTGACTGAAAACACTTCGTTTCGTTTCCCCCTGCTCTGCCATTGTTATTTAGTGTTTTTTAGGTGTTTTGTGCTCTTATTTTTTCTCCTGAGATAAACTTTCAAAAGTACAAAGGAGTCTAGTTGCTATATAGCCCAGGCCCAGGTGTTGAATTTATTATCTTTCTGCCTCAGCCCTGGGAATGCTGGAATTACAGACGTGAACCCCCACCACCAGCTAAAGATATGCATGTGTGTGTTATTTGTATATGTTCATGTGGGTATGTATACATATACATATACATACACATGTATGGCATGTGTAAGCCAGAGGTCAATGTTGTATATCGCCCTCTATCACTTCCACTTTAATTGAGACAGTATATTTTTCACTTAACCTGAAGCTCACTGATTTGGTGAGCATAGTTTGGCCAGTGAGTTCTAGGGATCATTCTCAGAGCTAAAATTATAGACACACTGGGTTTGAATAAGAGATGGTTCCCATAGCCCTGGGCATTTGAAGACTTGGTCCACAGTTAGTAGCAATGTCTGATAGGTTGGGGAAGTGTGGCCTGCTAGAGGAAATATGTCATTAGCGGCAGGCTTGTAGAGCAAAACAGGCTTACCTATGGCCAGTTTGATCTCTCAAAGTTCAAGATATAAGCTCGAAGCTCACTAATCTAGCCACCACCATGCCTGTCACTTTCCTGCTATGAAAGTACGATAGACTCTTATCCGCCTGGAACCATAACCCCAAATAAACTATTTCTTCTATACACTGCCTTGATCATGGTGCTTCATCACAGAAATAGAAAAGTAACTAATTCAAGGTATGTACTAGCAAACCTGGCCCCCTCTCCCTTCACCACTTCACCTGTTTTATTTTGTTTGGTTTGGTTTAGTTTGGTTTTTCAAGGTAGCGTTTCTCTGTTTCTTGGCTGACTTGGACTTACTTTGTAGACCAGGCTGGCCTCGAACTCACAGAGTGCTGGGATTAAAGGTGTGTACCAACATGCCCAGCTTTTCGCCTGGCTTTTAAGTATGGCTAGAGATCTAAACGTAGGTCCTCATGCAAGTATGGCAATGACCTTACCAACAAGTTACTTCTCTATCCCTTAGAATAAATTATTTAAATAGTGAGATAGAACTGGCAAAATGACTAAGCAGGTGAAGTAGGACCCAAATCTAATGTTAGGAAACTACATGATGGAAAGAAAACAGAATTTCAACTGTCTCTTGACATGTCTTAAGATGCATGCAAATGTCACAGCCATGCACACGTGCACACACTCACACACAAACACACACAATTGAAAAAAAAAAAAAAACTAGCAGGACTTAAATCACATATACATATACGTATACCTGTAATTTCTGAATTTCTCTCTGCTTTCATATGAGACTCTGTCTGGAATACTCTAGAAGAAATAAAAATAAAAATTACTGAAAAACCTTTTAAAAAATTTTTATTATAGTTTTATTATTGACTGTGTGAAGTACTTTTTGTTAGTGTGCAAATTTATTTTTCTATTTAATAAATGTTAGCTCTGTAATTATATGTATGAAAAAACTTGCTTCGCTTTATTTTATTTCACTTTTTGAGATGTGTGGGCCATGCAGCTTTAGCTGGTGTAACCTGTAACTCCCTTTACAGAACAGACTGAGCTAGGGTGTGGTGGCACACATCTTTGACCCCAGCGCTGGGGAGACAGAGGCAGGGATCTCTGAGTTTGAGGCCTACAGATTAAATTCTAAGATAGCCAGGGTTGCACAGAGAAACCTTGTCTTGAAAAACAAAAAAACAACACAAATAACAAAATATGAGGACCTGAGCTTGGACCCCAGCAGTATATAATAAATGTCCCAGCACCTGAGAGGTAGAGACAGTTGGCTCTACCTCATTAACAGCCAGTCTAGCTAAGTCAGTAAGTTCGATGTTCAAAGAGGTACCCTGTCTCAAAAAGTAAGGTAAAGAGAGAGTGAGGAAGATATGCAAAATTGACCTCTGGCATCTTCACATGCATGCCTTCACAAACACACAAACACACAAACACACAAACACACACACACACACACACTTTATTTGGAAAAACAAATTATTTAATTTGGAAAAACAAATTATCCAAATAGAATACTACCAACGTATTTGACAGAGAAAAGTATTAACTATAACATTTAACTTAATTTTTTCATCTTACTTTATAGTATCTGCAAAGCTGACTCGACGAGAGCTTTTCCTAGTTCTTGGCGCATTAGATTCCTAAGAGAAAACGATATAGGATACAATTCTTAATAAGTCACTGCAAATTAGGTTTCTGGACTATTAGAAGCAGGAACCAAGTCTTGTTTTGAATTAATGATATAAAATTCCTCCAAAAAACCCAACATAGAAGCACCTAATGGACAGAATATGACTTTCCAAATACTTCTTTGGGCAATGACAACACTAAGAATTGAACCAAGAATTGAACCGTGGTCTCATATAAATGTGATTTTCTTTTGGTTTTGCTTTATTTTGAAACAAAATATACAGCCATGTTGACCTTGTGTATCAACTCTCTGGTTCCTGGGATTACAGGTCTGTACCACTACTCAAGAGTATGATTTTCAGTAAGAGTTAAAATAAGCAGATTATGGCTTTTTTGGCCTTTTGGCTAAAATCAAGTAAAATAAAATAAGCATATTAACACAAACAATAACAAGAAAGACTGGGCACCAAACAGGAACTATGTGGTCAACTATACTGATCTTATTACAATGTGTTCTTCTAAAATTACAAGCAGCTTTTTATTTTGAACATAAGGCCTTACTACGTAGCTATGACTAGTCTGGAACTCTGTATATAGACTAGGCTGTCCTACATTCACAGAGATCAGCCTGTCTCTGTCTCCTTAGCCCTGGGATGAAAGGCATGCAGCACCATGACCATCTAAAAAACAGTTCTATTTTGTGATTATTGAAGTTATTTTAGACATGATCTTCCATAGCCTAGGCTGCATTCAAATTTGCTGTAAAGCCCAAGGATGAACTTGAAATTTCATCCTCCCAGTGCTGAAATTACAGGCCTGTGTCATCCTACCCAGCTAAACATAATTTATCATCTTAAACATTCTGCCTTGGCACTTTTTTAGTGGTAAAAATCAAGAACAACAACAACAACAACAACAACAAAAACCCACATAAAATTAAATTTATCATTTTTACCATTAAAAAAATAATTGAAAGTAAATAGATAGATAGAAATTTAAAGAAAACTGGGTATTGTGGTGCACACTTGTAATCCTAGCACTCAGGGAGGCAGAGGGAGGCAATCGCTGTGAGTTTGAGGCCAGCCTGGGCTACAAAGCAAGTCCAGGACAGTCAAGGCTACACAGAGAAACCCTGTCTCAGAAAAAAATAAAAAATAAAAATAAAAAAAAAAACAAAACACAAGACAAAACAAAAACAAACAAAACCCCCGAAAAACTAATGTGTGTGTGTGTGTGTGTGTGCACGCACGTGCGCATCATATGCGTGCAGGTGTCACAGAAGAGGAGGATGTTGGATCCTCTGGAACTAAGGTTACAGGTAAGCTGAGCCACCCAAAAGACACTAAATCTGGGTCCTCTGTAAGAGCAGAAAGTGTTCTTAACCACTGAGTTATCGCACTACCCTCATCTTAACACTGCTTATAAATACAGTTCAACAGTGTTAACACATCTTGCTGTGGAACTGGAGATGGCTTAGTGGTTAAAAGCACATACATTTCTTACAGAGAATCGGAGTTCATTTCCCACGTTAGGAGGTTCACAATCACCTGCAACTTCAACTCCAGGGGGGATCTGATGCCCCTGTGATCCACATGAACACTTGCACTCATATGACACAAACAAACTACACATTTAGAGCCTCCCTCCAAATCCTTGGCAACCAAGAATTCTATTTTGTTCTATATTAATTTGACTATACTTCATATAAGTGGTAACAAGTAGAACTTCTTTTTGTTTTTTGAAACTTTTTTTCCTTCATTTAGCTCTTCAAGATTCTTGTATGTTGTAGTGGATGTCCGATTTTTAATATTGAATTTATTTATTTATTTATTTGTTTGTTTATTTAGGTTTTTCAAGACAGGGTTTCTCTGTGGAGCCTTGGCTGCCCTGAACTTACTCTATAGACCAGGCTGGCCACAAACTCAGGGATCTGCCTGCCTCTGCCTTCCCAGTGCTGGGACTAAAGGTGTACACCACCATGCCTGGCTGAATTTCACTATTTATTAATACCACATTTTGTTTATTTAAACAAAGTGAACAGACACTTGTTTTTTACTACCTTTTAACTACTGTGAATAATGTTGCTGTGACCATGCATCTCTTTAAGGGGGCTGGAAAGGTGGCTCAGTAGTTAAAAACATGAACATTTCTTGCAGAGGGCTCAGGTTTTGTTCCCAGCACCCAATTGGGAAGCTCACAATTGCCTGTATCTACATCTCTAGGTGATATGGCTATCACTTCTGGCTTCTGTGGGCTCCAGGCACATGGACTACATACTGAAATGCATGCATTCATTCACAAATACACACAAATTAAAAATACATCTTAACAACAACAACAACAAAACAAAGATAGTAGCCATCTGTATGAAGCAGTCAATATGGTCAAAGGTCTAATTAGACACAGTAGACATGAAAGGCAGTGCTTGCCATGTACGTGAGAGGACTGAATTTCCAGTCCCTAACATTCACATAAATAGCTATACAGGTAAGTCAGACAGATGGCTCAACAGGTAAAGGCATATACTAGATGCTGTGCCAGGTTAAAAAGTCAAAATACCATCCCCTGTTCTAATCCCAGTAGAGGCTAAATTATTAGCAACAAATACAGAGTTTTAAAATTATAAATGCCAGCTTATTCAAGAATTTGGACTTTTCTTTTAAACACTGTGCCCAAGGACCTCATGCACAGTAGGTAAGAATTCCACCACTGAGTTACATCTCTACATCTCTAGCCCAGAAGTATTTGGACAATAATATGGAAGCAATGAGATACTTACTTACACAGTTAAATGGGAGTCATTTACAGTACCATCCCTTTGCATAGCTAATAAAATTCATGAGGATCACTGAAGCCAGGCATGATGACAGAAATCTATAGTCCTAGCACTTGGCAAGCTCAAACAGAATTGCCACAGGCTCAGGGTCACTCTAGGCTATATAAGTGAAACCTAATCTCAGCAAACTAAGTCCTTCTCCAAAACAAAATCACTGAAATTTCAAAGCATTTGCACTAGAGACTTACCTGAACAGTTTCATTTCCACATTTGAGGTCCTGAAGAGGACTCCTTGGGGGTTTCAAAATCTAGATGAAATAATCAGATTTAGTCATGAAAATCTAAGGTAGCTACTAGTCAATTTGTATTACATGAGTAAAAACTAACATTTCTATTAAAATCCCTGAAATTCCTCAAAGTCAGTGTTTAGTGTTAAGTGACTGATTAAAATATCTAACATTTATGCCTTCTCATGGCCCACTCACCCAAATTCTTTGCACAAAATCATCCTCTAGGTAAAGCGTCACATGGACTCAAAAGTCCTGAGACCATCTAACACAATGTGCAATTTGTTCATAATGTCCAGTTCAGGACTGAGGGTACACCTTAAGACTAACACAATCACACTAACAATTAAATTTTAAGTCTTGTTTTCCTATCTTGAGAAAACACATTAAACTCTTCACACAGAAGTTAAACATAGAAATAAGGAGAGCTTGATATATCATAGCAATCAGAGATAATTAAATAAATTATTCCTGCTAGCAAAACCCATCCAAAAAGTCAAATAGAAAAAAAGGAAGAAAATTCCAGCAGGGTTATGTTAGAGTTCCTTTTGGGTAACTTTTGCATATAGGCATCCTATACCATTGTATTTTTCCAATTTCATAATCTAAAAATGAATTTAGTATGTAAATCAACTTAGATGAACTTTTCTCTTGCAATAGTTTGAATATCAGGATAAATATATTTTTTAAAGAGGAAAAATATACATTTTAAGCATTTATAATAATGAAATATATTTTTATATAAGAGAAAAATTATTAAATAAGTACATTAAAAATTACAATGATGCAGAAATACAATAATAAAAAGTTTATTAAATTTAGCCTGGCGTAGTGTCTACACCTTTAATCCCAGGATTTGGGAGGCAGAAACAGACAAATTTCTCTGAGTTCAAAGCCAGCTCTGGTCTACAAAGTGAGTTTCAGGACAGCCAGGGCTGTTATACAGAGAAACCTTGTCTCAAAAAACAAAACAAACAGTTTATTAAATTACAAAAAAAGTGCAAAAACATGAATTTTAGCATATTTACTGAAGCATATAACCAGACTAAGTACTTGAGTTTTATCTAGAAAGCAGTAAGAAGCTAGTTGGGATGCCAAGGTAAAGCCAGAGTCAAAATTACTGTTGTTGTAGTCAGTAAAGAATAACATCTATTAATTAAATAAAAACATTTTTTTACTGAGGAATGCCGTCTTCTAACAGGCCTTTGTGTATGGTCACTGAAAAGAAGAAAAAGAGAAAGAAAAAATTATGTATATGTAGATAAATAACTAAATTTCTAAAAGCTATTATTACTTTATCCCTTTTGTATTATAGTATAAGACATCAAACTGTGTTTTAAGAATTCAATGTTTTAAAGGCACATTGTGGTCAAACCTGGTGGAATAAGCCTGTAATCACAGCTTTTGAGAGGCTGAAGTAGAAGGATCACAAATATGGGGCCTGTCTAAGATACCAAGTTCAAGGCCAGTCTTGGCAAATTAGTGAGATCTTGTTTCAAATAAACATAAAAGCCCAGAGCTAAAGGCTCAGTGGTAGAGCACTTGCGTAGCATGCATGAAATCCTAAATTTAATTTCTAGTACCAAAGGGTGGGAGTGGAAGAAACCAGTGAGTTTAGTTCATTGGTTAAACACATGCTGAAGGTTCCTATGCCCAGTGTAAATAAATCATGGCTGGGCAATGGTGGTAAATGCCTACAATCCCAGCACTCGGAAGGCAGAGGCAGGCAGAGTTCCAGGCCAGCCTGGTCTACAGAGTGAGTTCCAGGACAGCAAAGACTACACACACACACACACACACACACACACACACACACACACACACAAAAACAACCCTGTCTTGGGGGAAAACACATGTTCTATAAGATTATCAATTAAATAATAATCAGTAGCTCATAATTTATATCTTCAAAGGTAAAATTATTAAAATAAACAATCTCTGTCACCAGACACTAGGTCTGCTTACTATATATGATTTTTAGACTAGATTTTGAAACTCCCAAATGCCTATTAGGCCAAACAGATAATTTGTGACATATAAGACAAATAGAACAGTATAGAGATTCAAATGATCTAGAGATTTCTTGCCTAGTCTAAAGATCACTGCAAGTATGTTCCACTAGTTAGCTATTCCAAGAAAGACTGCATTTTTTTTTGTCACCCTAGGTTTTTCATGAAAAACTGAAAATCTAATTATTTTGTATAAAATCTTGAGATACTTTCAATTTGAGCAATTAGCTGAAAAATTAAAATTTATGTATATGTTAAAAATTAGGGACAAACTGGATGTGATGGTGCACGCCTTTAATCCCAGCAGAGGCAGAGGCAGGTGAATGACTGTGGGTTTGAGGCTAGCCTGGTCTTCGTAGTTAAGAACAGCCAAGGCTACACAGAAAAACCCTATCTCAAAAAACAAAACAACAAAAGATAAGGGACAGATGTGGCGGCACACGTCTTTAACCCTTGTACTCAGAAGGTGAAGCTCTGTGAGTTCGGGTACATACTGAGTTTCAGGCCAGCCAAGGCTTTATAGTGAGACTGCCATTTTATCTCCTAAAGCCTTTATGAAATGGGAGGTGTGTCTATGAAACTCCTTCAAGTCTTGAGTTCTCTCTCTCTCTCTCTCTCTCTGGTTTTTCGAGACAGGGTTTCTCTATGTAAAAGTCATGACGGCCCTGGATTTGCTTTGTAGATGAAGCTGACCTCAAACTCAGAGAGATCTGCCTGTCTCTGCCTCCTAAGTGTTGGGATTAAAGGTGTGTGCCACTGCTGCCTGGCAAGTCTTAAACTCTTACTCTAAATGAGCTTATACAAAAATATGACAGAAAGGCTATCACTTTTTAACACTGACTTCTTTTACTTGGAACAAAATAGAAAACAATTTCACACATTACTGATATCTCTTAACTAGTTTGAAAATAACTTTCTGTGATAGAAAATAACACTTTAGCAGCACTGAATGAACTTACTTCTCTTCATTAGCCTCTGAAGACATTCCATCCATTTTTTAAAACTTTTTTCTGTAAAAACAAACAAACAAACAAACAACATACATATATAGTATTAATAAGAAAGATGAAAATGATAGTCTATGGGTGATTAGGAGCATTGGTATGACTTTAGAGTTATTTTGTAAAAAAAGACCAAAAATAGGAAGTAAAAACCATATTGTGAGCTCTAAAACATGAAAGATTTAGGACAGTACCATGTTATACTTAATACTAGAAATTTTCATACTCAAGATAAAAATCTAAGCCAGGCATTATGGTCATCCCCATAATCCTATCACTTGGGAGGTGGAGGCAAGTGGAGCAAGAGTTCCAAACTAGCCTTAGTTACATATTGAACTCCAAGGCAGCCTGGGCTATAGCAAGAAGCCACCCTCCCACCTCCCCAGCTTCCCCCCAAAAAATCAAGATAAAGTCTGTACACTAACTGTGAGCATGATGATATGGACTTTCCAATAAAAATTTGGCCTAGTTTGCTTAATAATTAAATAATATAATATTTGGATTACATACTAATTCAATCTCTAAATAGAAGTCAATTAGATATTTAAAACAGTAAATTTAACTTAAGAAAACTGAATTATGTTATGTATGGTAGCACATACCTATCATCCCAGCACTCGGGAGAAAAGAGGCAAGGAGAGTTGCTCCAAGTACTAGGATTAAAGTCATAGGCCATCACACCTGTTCCTAATTTTTAACATATACATGATACTTAATTTTTTAGTTAACTGCCCAAATTGCAAAAATCTCACGACTTTATTTCATACAGTAATTATATTTTCAGTTGTTCTTGAAAACCAAAGGCTGACAGAACAACCACAGCCTCTAAGTTGCCCAGGGGGTCTTGAGCTCACTCTGTGCAAGGCTGTTCTTTAACTTGATTCTCCTATCTTAGTCTCCTAAGTAACCCTGATTACAGAAAAGCACCACTACACCAAACTGTATTAATATTTTACATACTATACTCAATTACTTAAATTGGAATCCTACTCAATGAGTATTGAATGGACTTGGAAATGGAAATCTACTCAACAGCTCATCAGTAAACACATCTGTCAATAGGTTTAACTACCTGAGGTTAATACTTAAAACCCACATGGTAGGAGAGAACCTGAACAGACTCTCATTAAGGTAACCTCTGACCTCTAACCACATATGCAGTATGTCATAAACATACACACACACACACACACACACGAACACTAAATAGATAGATAGATAGATAGATAGATAGATAGATAGATAGATAAGAGTTTTGTTTTTTTTCCCCCCACTGTATGCATTAACTAGACCCTTACTTCCAGGTAAGAAAAGACGTCATCTCAGGTTTAAAAACAATACCTACAAAATTTGACAACTAGTACTAGTCACTTCTACCATAACATTAAATTAATACCATATACACGAACTACTAACAACGTTCTTACTTTTAACAATAAGGAAAACACAGATACCTAAAAAATAATATCTAATTACACACATTTTTTCATATATAATAAAAGCAAAATTTAGGGAACAGATCTTCATAGTAAGTCTGAATTTAAGTCTGAAATATGCATGTGGGTTCGGGGGTCTTGCTGTTGTTTGTTTTGGTTTTTAAAACAGTCTCACTGTGTAGCCCTAACTAGCCTGGAACTCTATAGTGAGTACAGAGAACATGCATGCTGGCCTCCTCAGACTCATGGGTGATCTTCCTGTCTCTGCCTCCTGAGTGCTGAGGTTAAAGGTAAGGGCCAGTACAACTGGCTTGGCTGCTTAAAAAAACAAAACTTACATGAGTGTTTTGTTTGCATGTAATGTCTGTGTAACACATTTGTACCTGCTGTCTGTGGAGGCCAGAAAAGACAACGGAATCCCCTACAACAGTGTTTTAGGCAGTTGTGAGCTGCCATGTGAGTATTAGAAATTGAATGGGATCCCCTGGCAATGGGCAGACAGACACCTTAGTTAAGGGCAGAGCAGATGAAATTCTTTGTTCATGCTATCTTGATTTCTGGCTTGGTGGCCAAAGCTGTTTTATGCCTTGGACTATTAAAAATCAAATCAAATAAAATCCAGGCAGCACAGGATGGAAGAAGACAAAGACCTGCAGACCCCCATGCCACCCACACTCCTACCCACCAGTGCATGGCACAGGCGGGCCATAGATACCTGCTTGCCAACATGTCACACATCAGTGTTGGTGGAGGATGTCACTGAGGGACCCAGCAGCCTAGTGGCCAGCCTGCAGCTGGAGCCACCACAATGTGGGAGTATGCTGTGGTCAGATGGGAGAGAAAGAGAAGTGAAGCAGCTTGAGCACCATAAAGACAGACAGAACTAGAGACTTGAGGGTGGAGAGGAGTAGCTTGTTGTGAGTGGCCAGTGTAGTGGAAGTTTTGGTCTACACAGTTATGTTATGTAAACAGGTTTCTTGTTTTAATCCCAAATGTGGGATATGGGACTCCCTTAGCTTGTCCACAGCTAATAAATTGCCTCAGACGGTTAGGGGAGGGGTATGGTCTTTGTCATCCTAAGTTAGTGGATTTCTGAGAGCCCAGAGAGAGAGAGACCACAAAGGTTTTGAGAAGGACAGAGAGAGGATTTTGAGGAGACTGCCAGGAGAGAAAGAAGGTGCTTGTTCGTTCTACTGCTGCATTTGCTGTTGCCAAGATATCCTGCTGCTAGATATCCTAATGACTGAGATAGAACCCAACTACCCTAACCAGCCAGAACTAAGTCTAAGTCCCCTGTCCCTTCTAACCTTCTTCCTCTCCTACCTGGGGTCAGGGGGAGGAGTTAGAAAGGAGGTAGAGGCATAAGGAATCCCAAATAAAGTAGAGTTTAAAAACAGAACTTCCAGGCCAGCCCTGAAACCTGGGGTCATGGTAAAGACCCAGCCCGAGCTGCCGCTGTAGGTCATGTCTGAGTCTGTGGCTACACAGTGGGCAAGGGTCAGTATCAATGTCCGTGGCTCATATTATCACTAGAGAAGATAAGGATGTCCCTAGTTGGGACAGCTGCTGGGGACCACTGGGATGTCCAGAGGCTGTGCAGAACTGATCCTGCCTCTCACTGGATAAGGCACTCTGGAGAACTCGCCCAATATCTCACCATTGGCAGCACTCAGAAGGGGCGGCCCTATGCCTTGCCCAGACAGCACAGTAGAGCTGGCCCTGATGACCAGGAGTGTGTAAATGAACCAAGGATGTGTGGGAGAGCTGACCCTGCTGCTCATCTGCTGTGGGATGGCACAAGCATGGAGGTGATGTCCCAACCGCCCCCTTGCTACCTCCAGAAGCCAGAAAAACTACCACAAAGGTCATGAGCTCTGGAGAAATACCCCTGCCTTTTGCTGGCTCAGCACTCAGGAGAGCAGGCCCTGCACCTTGCCTGGACATCACATTAGGGATAACACTGGTCAAGGGGCAATGGTGAGCCAGTCCAGAGGGCAAGAGTGTGGGCGAGCTGGCCCCGCTACTCATCTGTCATATGGCATGGGTAGGGAGGTGATGCACCTCCACCTGCAGTAGTCAGTAAAGCTGGTCCAGAGGGCATGAGATTGAGACAGCTAGCTCTGTCCCCAGCTGGAACCAGCACTTAAAAGAATGGCCTGCATCTTCCCTCTGCAACAGAGGAGCTGGCGCTGATGGCAAAGGCACAGGCGAGCCAGCCCGGAGGGCGAGAGGAGAGCTGGCCCACCCATTCACAGGTTGCAGTACTTGGGAGAGTGGGCCCTGTGCCTTGACTAGGCAGCACAGTGGAGCTGTTCTGGAGGCATGGGTTCAGGTGAGCCAGCCCCAAAGAATGAGAGAAGAGCTGCCCCTGCCTCCTGCTGATGGCCACCTTGAACGGCCTAGCCAGAGCAGTGCTAGAGAGCCCACCCCAGGGGTGTGGATAACAGAGAGCCAGTGATCTGACCATCTCTGCTACCACCCAGGCCCAGATCCACGGCTTGAAGGTGACCCAACCAAGTATCATTATCATCTGGTTGGAATTTGTGAAAAGGGCCAGTCCTGCTGTCCCAAAGCTGCAGGATCTCTATGACACAGGGCAACAACAGGATAAATGGGAGGAGTCCCGACGAGGATTCAATACTGATGGTGTAAGAGAAGCCGAAGATCTTGAACCAATGACTCATTGCAATGTCCATTTACAAGTGAAGATGTGTGGATAGAGGGATACAGTGTGGGCAACACTGACATACTACAGCTTCCATGATGAGATAGTCTGTGCTTTGTTGTTTTGTTTGTCTTGGGTTTTTTCTGTTAGTGCTTGTGTGTTTTTTATTGGGGGGGCAGAGGCTGCAAGATCAAAGGGCTGATGTGAAGGGACAGGGAGATGAGTGGGACTAGGGCATGAAAATCAGTAAGAATCAATAAAAAGTTAAAAAAGAAACAACTGAGGTCTTTCCTGTCAAAGATCAACTACTGAACCAACTTTCATCTCCTAAATGTATGTATTTAGAACAACTTCCTACTTAAAATATTTCAGTGGCTTGCTATTACATTGACATTTTTCACTAGAGCCTATAAGACTCAGGGGATCTGGTCTCTTTTTACCCCTCAAACTTCACTATCCCTTACTATTTCCTGATTTTGGTAGCCACGCTAGCCACACTGCAGCACAGACAGCCTTCCCAAATTAGTGTATTTATAAGGGCTATTCTCTCTTGGCAAGAAAGACAAAGTTCTCTTGGTAGCACTATGTATCTCTTCTCTGAGCATTACAACTGTAATTTAAAATCCTGTTCTATAAATTAGCAAATGCTTCTATTACCTCCCCAAACTACCTTCACCACAACAGTAAACTGTGAAAATGGGGGGGGTGGGGTGTTTTAAACTCCTTTGAGGATTGAACACCCCTTTCACACAAGTCCCGTATCAGATAACCAGTATTTTATTATATAGCCCATACATTACATCTTTACAGAAACAGGCCAAGACCCTCGACCACTATGAGAAATCTTACTTATAAAATGCTTTTTGAACACATTCATACTGATTATTGATTGGCTTGAAAACTGTATTT